ATCTCACTCTGTCACCCAGGCTGGAGTGCAGTGGCTCAATTTTAGCTCACTGCAACCTCCGCCTCCCAGGTTCAAGCAATTCTCCTGCCTCAGCCTCCTGAGTAGCTGGGATTACAGGCGCCCGCCACCACACCAGGCGAATATTTGTATTTTTAGTAGAGATGGGGTTTCACCATGTTGGCCAGGCTGATCTCGAACTCCTGATCTCATGTTCTGCTCACCTTGGCCCCCCAAAGTGCTGGGATTACAGGCGTGAGCCACTGCGCCTGGCCGCACACCACACATTTAAAAATCCCGTTGTTTTAGTTGCTTTCTGTTTGGGTTGGTCCCGAGTGGATGGTCATCATGGTTCTCAGCACTGTTGGACCTGGAGCCTCATACCATGACCAGGAGCGGGAAGTCCCCATGCTGTTTCAAGCAGTGGTGATCTAAGTTGTATTTCTTAAATGAGTCAAGGTTGGAAAAGCTTGAGACCCCTGCTCTAGGGTGACCTAGGGCTGTACCTGTCCCTTTCTGCCTTTTCTCCTGTCTGGACTAGGGGTCGAAGGGGCTGGTGGGCCATGTGGAGACTGGGTAGCTGACAATCCCCAGGACCTGTGGGCTCAGATGCAGGACTTCGTACCTCTCAGCCCCTCTGGTCTCAGCTCAGCACCTCACCCGCTGGCCCCTCTTTCCTGTATCAGCTCCCTGCCCCTGCCAGGAGGGACCTCTGTCCTGTTCCCAGACGCGCCATATCCTCTCCCACCTCCTGCCCTTTCCTCCAGTTGTGTGCCTCATAACCTTTTCCTCCCTCCAAGGCTAAATCAAACCCCACCTTCTCATACAGGAGGAAGTCGTTTCTGGGTTGATGTATTCATCCGGCAGATGCTTGCTAAGCCCCAGGTTAGGGCTGGGGAACAGTGATGAGCTCAACCAGGCCCTGCCCACCTGCCCACCCGTGAGTCTGGTGAGGGTAGCAAAAAACACAGTGGAATTCATAAATAATATACTTTATCCATATCCATATTTATATAATGCAAAATGGTGGCAGTCTAGAGCCAGGGTCTGAGTGAGCCTGGAGCCAGCAGGAGGGAATGAACTAGTTTAATGTCCTAAGTGTGACAAAAAAGAGAAAAGAAGGGAAAATAACTTAAAAAAATATTTTAGCTGGGCGCAGTGGCTCACGCCTGTAATCCCAGCACTTTGGGAGGCTGAGGCGGGTGGATCACGAGGTCAAGAGATCGAGACCATCCTGGCCACCCATGGTGAAACCCCGTCTCTACTAAAAATACAAAAATTAGCGGGGTGTGGTGGCACCTGCCTGTAATCCCAGCTACTTGGGAGGCTGAGGCAGGAGAATCGCTTGAACCCAGGAAGTGGAGGTTGCAGTTAGCTAAGATCAAACCACTGCGCTTCAGCGTGGTGACAGAGCAAGACTCCATCTCCAAAAAAAAAAAAAAAAACATTATTTTTTTATACAGGGAGTCTCTCTCTGTCACCAGGCTGGAGTGCCTCTCTGTCACCAGGCTGGAGTGCAGTGGCACGAGCAGGGCTTACTGCAGCCTGACTTCCTGGGCTCAAGCAATTCTTCTGCCTCGGTCACCCAAGAAGCTGGGACTACAGGCATATACCACTATGCCACGCTAATTTTTTCGAATTTTAGTTGAGACAAGGTCTCACTATATTGCCAAGGCCGGTCTTGAACTCCTGGCTCAAACGATCCTCCTGCCTCAACCTCTTGAGCAACTGGGATTACAGGTACACGCCACCATGCCTGGCCAAATTTTAATTATTTTATTTTATTTTTTTAGAGATGGGGTTTCACCGTGCTGGCCAGGCTGGCCTTGAACTCCTTACCTCAAGTGATCCACCCACCTGGCCTCCCAAAGTACTGGGGTTACAGGCGTGAGCCACCATGCCCAGCTAATTTTTTATTTTTTTAAAATTATTTTTAGTTTTTCCATCACTTGCTGCCTGTTGATTTTTTTTTTTTTTTTTTTTTTTTGAGACAGAGTTTTTTTTTTTTTTTTTTTTTTTTTGAGACAGAGTCTTACTCTGTCACCAGGTGCCAGGCTGGAGTGCAATGGCTCAATCTCGGCTCACTGCAACCTCCGCCTCCAGGGTTCAAGCAATTCTCCTGCCTCAGCCTCCCGAGTAGCTAGAACTACAGGCACGTACCACCACGCCCAGCTAATTTTTTGTAGTTTTTAGTAGTAGAGACGGGGTTTCTCCATGTTGGCCTGGATGATCTCGATCTTTTGACGTCATGATTTGCCCGCCTTGGCTTCCCAAAGTGCTGGGATTACAGGCGTGAGCCACCGCGCCCGGCTGGTAATTTTTTATTAAAAAAATTTTTTTTTGTACGGATAAGAATTCACCATGTTGCCTAGGCCAGTCTTGAACTCCTGGCCTCAAGTGATCCTCCCTCCTGGCTTCCCATAGTATTGGAGTTACAGATGTGAGCCACTGGGCCCAGACCACTTGCCTTTTAAATCATGAATGTGGCAGCCACACATGCAATCATTTGATGTGACCATGAGTGATGTATTTTCTGAAATAGCAGAAAACTCCTGGGAAAATTTGAACAACACAAAGGACAGCTTTCCCTTGGTTTATATTGGAGCCGCATTCCTGGAAAATTCAGTGTTTGCTAAAATGCATGCAAAAAAATATTTGTTCCTCTGTGTATAACTCTAGGCCCAGAACACTACTCACAGATGTCCACCTGTGCGTGTGGGCAGGACATTTGCAATCAGGCATCACCCAGGACAATCTTCATGGTGCAGGCGTCCCGCATCCCTGTTCTGCTCACTTAGTGCCACTGTGACAATCGGTGGTACAACCCAAATCACTCCCTGCCCACTGAATTTCTGGAACATTCCCTGGTGTGGCCCCATTTCCCACCACTCTGTTGGGAACCTCCTGCCTCTAACAAGGCAGTGAGATTCACAAAATGAAATCGGGAACCCCTGGGAGTGCCAACCCAGCCGGAAGAAGCAGGAGACCCCAGCTGCCTCCTGAGGGCTGAGCCGAGCCCATAAAGACACACTCTCAGCCCAGCGCGGTAGCTCATGCCTGTAATCCCAGCAGTTTTGGAGGCCAAGAGTTTGAGACCAGCCTGGAAAATATGGTGAAACTACGTATCTACTAAAAATACAAAAATTAGCCAGGCTTGGTGGTGCATGCTTGTAATCCCAGCTACTCAGGAGGCTGAGGCAGGAGAATTGCTTGAGCCTGGGAGCTGGAGGTTGCAGTGAGCTGAGATCGCACCACTGCACTCCAGTCTGGGCTACATAGTGAGACTGTGTCTTTAAAAAAAAAAAAAAAAGACACTCTCCAACAAACTGAGTGCTCTTTCAGAAGTGAAGTCCACTGATGCTGGCAGTGCTGAGTGGGGCTAGTTGGGGTGGCCCTTGGTGGCTCCATCTGCTTATGGAATTGCCATTTTTTCCCTTCCTTTCCAGGAAATTCTGTCTTCCTTGATCTTTGTTTCACTCGGTTTCTACTCCTGATGGTCCTGTGGCGCCATTGCCTCCTTATAAGCTGGGTGGAATATCCAGGTTTTCTTTCGTCCCTGCGACTGGATGGCCAGCTTTGACCAGAAAAAAAGACAGAGCTTTCTTAGAGGGAACAGGAAAGGACCTGAAAAAGGGGTTTTGTTTCTGGGACCCTCCATTGGGACCCTCCATTGGCCCCCTCCAGTCTCCCAGCCTAGCAGTCTCCCTTCTGTTCCACACTGCCAGAGCATTGTGTGATCAGGGGCTCACACAGCTGCAGCATGAGAGGGCTCTCAGGGCCACTGAGTCCTGCTCCTTGTCCGGGTCATGGATCCCTCCTGTGATGGGGATGGGGAGCTCACTATTTCCCAGCCCAGCCCAGGCTTCTGTCACGCAGGCCCCGTCACCCACACCAGCCCCTCACCAGCACCCAGAATCCTCCCTCCCCTCCCCACAGGCTTTCAAATAGGCTTTTCCAACTCATGCCTCCTTTTGATGAGCAGAAAAATTGGACACCCTTCCTGCAGCTTAGGCTTATGGGAATGACAGTTGTTTTATCTACTTGCCGAAGTAAAAATTGTACTAGAGAACATGTTTCTGGACTTTGGATTTGCATTGTCTTAGGTCAGATTCCTAGAAGCAAAGCCTAAGATGGGTGAATTATTGAGGAAGTCCTCAGGAGAACACAGTGAGGGAGCCTCTTCCTCTCTGTATAGGGCAGGGGAAGAAGCTGAACAAGGATGTGGTTTCAGGGGAAGATGCGCCTCAGCCTGACCCCACGGGGAGCTTGGGACTGTGAGCTGTCCCTCGGACAGTCCCCTCCAGAGGCTGGGCTGTTCCACACCCGTGTCAGTCACTGGATAGGGGCTGCCCCTGGGGAGAGGGGTATGTAATTTCCCAGGCATCTGTGTGCAAGGTGGTTTCTATCCACCAAGGCAATTAGCTAAAGAAGGATGCAGATGTGGGCTGTTAGCTGCCAATACTCACGAAAGCTAGGCACAGACAGGGCATAAGGGGGAGGCTCTAGCAGCCTCTGGTAAATCTCCCGGGAAAAGAGGGTGCATGCCCACCCCACCAAGTGAGGTGCACTGCTCTCAAACTTGGCTCTGAGCCTCCCCATTCTACTGAGCATAATCCAGGATGCTCCAAATTCTACGAGGTTCTTCCAACCACTTCCTCTTTACCTGCAGTGGGGAAGGTGGGTGGGGAGGGGTTGGGAGAGCAGAGCTGCAGGCTGGGGTTTTTTCCAGGGAGGGCCCTGAGCCCCAGATGAACCATTCCCCTCACCCACCTCCTGCCCTGCCACAGACTGCCTCTTCAAGGTGTGTCCCATGAACCGCTACTCTGCCCAGAAGCAGTACTGGAAGGCCAAGCAGACCAAGCAGGACAAGGAGAAGATCGCCGACGTGGTGTTGCTGCAGAAGCTGCAGGTATGTGTGTGCAGGCGTGCATCTGTGCGCATGCGCCAGGAGCCTGGGTGCACATGCCGGGCCGCTGCTTGCCGGAGCCAGTAGGGGCTCCGTGGCCGAGCTGAACGGTTTCTAAAACTCAGCTGGGCGTGGCAGTTCACACCTGTAATCCCAGCATTTTGGGAGGCCGAGGGAAGAAGATTGCTTGAGGTCAGGAGTTCGAAAGCAGCCTGGGCAACATAGCAAGACCCTATCTCTACAAAAAATTAATAAAAAATTAAAATTCCAATATGCAAGAGATTGGTGTGAGTTGCTGTGAAGGAGGGGATGTGTGTGTGGGGTTAGGGTCCCTTCCCAGTGACCCACCGGTCCATATAACTCTGTTGTATCAATGAGAAGAAAGTGCCCCCTCCTCCAGGCTGGCACAGCCCCATGCCAGAGTGCATGGCTCAGAGACTGGAATGTTGACACCTAGAGCAGTGAACAACCTGTGCAGCTGTCCATGGAGTTCCCAGTGGCTCCTAGAGACAGTGGCTCCAAGGAACCCAGTTTGGGAGCCCTGGATCTAGTCTTACCCTCTCCCCTTGTTTCATAGAGTTGGAGCCTGGGGCCCTTAGATGGGACTGGCCTGACCAGTCATGCTGTGAGTCTGTCTGCAGTAGAGCCTAGATGGCCCCAGGTCTCTAACTCTCCCTGGCTTCCTCAGACATGTGGATCGTGCTGTGGTGCTGGGATGTGGTCGCTCATGGGCCCCTTGTGGGCAGTGGCTCAGTTCCTATCCTGGGCAGATGTCGGGGTCCCAACCTCAGGCCCCAAACCACAAAGAGAGTGGGAGGCTTTGACTGTGGTCAGGAACTTTGCAGCCAGAGCCCTGGGCCCTGTTGTCCCACCCCTTGTCATACAAACCTTGCTTCCTTCTGTCCCCTTCCCCTGAGCCCCATGCCCGGAGGAGGTGGGTCTAGAATAGGGGCATTGGGCTGTGCCCTATAGCTGTGGACTGGGCTGGAGGGAGGGAGCTGCAGGTGGGCTGCCTGAGCTCTGGTATTACTACCCCAGCTCTCTTCCTAGGGGGCGGGGGCTCCCACAGGCTTCCTTCCTGCTGCCGGCAGGCGGAGGCTGAGCTGGGATCTGGCCTGGGGGGAGGGCATTCACACGTGCAGAACTACATAATCAGAACTGCAAGCGGTCACACAGCCACATGCTGTTGCTTTGTGGAAAGTCACATGGTCCATAGCAAGACTCTCCAGCTGCCACCCTCCCCCTGGTCTCAGGAAAGGACTGAGGAGGAAAAGGCGGAGACCACTGCCCTCAGAGAGTGCCAGTGTGATGGAAAGGACAGGGCTCCTGCCGTCCAGGAACCCCTAACCTGGTGGAGGAGACAGGGCACCTATAGTTAGGCAACTTCCAGTCTAACGGAATAGAAGAGTCTAAAAAGCTGTCTATTGGGATGCAGCCCAAATCCTCAAGGCCACCAGCACTGGATCCATCAAGTGGGATGTGACCAGTCAGGGTGGGCCGCCTGGAGACAGTCGGCTGAGTGCACACAGTTTTGGGAGGGAAGGTCGCAGAGGAGTGGGGGTGGTGGAGGGAACCAGGAAATGGCACCAAGCAGCCCCTGCCAGGGTTTGGACTGGGAACAGGGGTCCCGTGTCTGGGGCACTGGGAGTCTGGTGAGATGGGGGTGGGTGGTGAGGCACAGCTATACGTTCCTGGGGGTGTAAGGGGATTGTGGGGGTGCTCAGGGTCCTGCTGGCATGCCCTCTCCAGGGGAGGTGGCCGGGGAGGGGGTAGCGATTTGGCTCCTTGGGCTGTGCGTGATGTGAGACCTCAGGCTGCCATCTGCATGTGGAGGGCAGCACTCTGGGTGCAGCACCAGGAGCTGGGGCAGGAGTCCCTGGGGTCCTGGAGTCCAAGGTGACTGTGTGCATGTGTTTGTGTGCATGGGTGCATGTGTGTGTGTGTGGGCCTGGAGTATGTCTCCCTCTAGGAGCAGCTTCTGAGCCCGCCCTTCACTTCCATGTGTCTGCCCAGCATGCCGCCCAGATGGAGCAGAAGCAAAACGACACAGAGAACAAGAAGGTTCACGGGGATGTGGTGAAGTACGGCAGCGTGATCCAGGTGAGGCTGCCCTGCCCTCTCCCTAAGAGGCTGCACTCGTGCTGGGTGAGGCTGCCAGCAGGCAGTGCCCTCTGCGCATGTGTGTCCCCTGGGGAATGAGTGGCCCTGGGGCCAGCCGTGTGGCTGTGCGTCTGACTGTGTGTATGCCTGTTGCTGTGTGGCCTGAGTAGCTGTGCCATGGGTGTGTTGACAGCATGGTGGTCATCAGCATGGAGTCTGGAGCCGCGTTGTCTGGGTTCAAATCTTGGCAGAGTTAACTTGGGCAAGTTACTAAACGTCCCCTGGTGCCTTGGTTTCCCCATCTGTGAAATCAGGCAGTAATAGTACTTCCCTCTTGGATCGTTGTAGGTGACTTGAGCTAATCTATGTAAAGTATATAGAGCCGCTTCTTTCTTGTGATTACTGGGGTGTCCATGGCAGTGTGCCTGTTGTGTGCATGTTTGTGTGTGGCTGTGGCTGTGGGTGTCAGCCTGTGTGTTTGTGACAGGTGTCTGACACTATGTATGCAGCCAGGATGTGACCAAGGGTCTAGTGGATCCCCCCATGTTCCCTCCCTGATGGGCTAGCCCCTGGGCCCCAGTGACCTTCCCGCACCCACCTGACCCCCAGCTCCTGCACATGAAGAGCAACAAGTACCTGACTGTGAACAAGCGGCTTCCGGCCTTGCTGGAGAAGAATGCCATGCGGGTGACCCTGGATGCCACGGGCAACGAGGGCTCCTGGCTCTTCATCCAGCCCTTCTGGAAGCTGCGGAGCAACGGGGACAACGTGAGGGCAGGGCTGGGGCTGGAGGGACCTGGTGGAAGGTGCCGGGCACAACTCTGGAGGGACTTCTCCAGTGTCTTTGGTGTGGAGACTGGATAAGGTCATGCCCATTTCTTAGAAGGGCAGACTGAGACCAGACGGAGGCCTGGAGGCGTGGCGACAGGAGGGCCCTGCCCTTCCCACCTCACCTGCCCTGCCTGTCTGCCCAGGTGGTCGTGGGGGACAAGGTGATACTGAATCCTGTCAACGCTGGGCAGCCTCTGCATGCCAGCAATTATGAGCTCAGCGACAACGCCGGCTGCAAGGAGGTGAGCGGGTGGAGGGTCAGCCGTGCAGTACAGGGGCGTCCACACACCCCTGGTGGTGCAGACACCCCGCTGTCCGCCATGGTCTCTGCCTCTAGCCCCATCTGACCCGCTGGATAAGCTGGGCCTCACGGCTCCTGCATCCATTTTCCAACACTGCCCCCAATCTCCACCCCACAGGTTGGTGGCCCCAAGGCAGCCAGGCTGGGGTCTGGGGACCCTGGCTATGAGAAGACACCTGTCCTTGTGCTGTAATGGTGGCTGGGTGGTCCTTCCCTTCAGCCCCTCTCTGGGCCCTCAGTGGCTGGGGCCTGCCTGGCATCATGGGTCTGTCCCCCTTCCCCAGGTCAACTCTGTGAACTGCAACACCAGCTGGAAGATCAACCTCTTTATGCAGTTCCGGGACCACCTGGAGGAGGTGTTGAAGGGGGTAAGGACTGGAACCCCTGCCCTGCCCAGTTAGCCACCCAGCCCTCCCCACCAGGGCCCTCTTCCAGCCTTCTCCACCCACCAGGTCTCAGGCCCTTACCCTCTCCCTGACTCTGTGCCCTCCAGCCTCCGGCAACCTCCTCAGGGCCCCACCCACATGGCCCTACCAGGACTGCCCCTTTCTTGTCTCTGGCCACAGCCCCCTTCTCCATCCTCTCTGGGTTCTGCCTGGCCTCTGTTTTCTCTCTTGTTTGAGGGAGTGTCAGACTGGGGGTCTCCATCCCCCCAACCCAGAGCCTTTGTGTATCATCCTCTCCCTGACTCCTGCTGCGTGGGATCCACGCCAGGCCCCCTGCCCCTTGCCCTGTTCAGCAAGGGAGTGAGGCTGCTCTGTCTGCTGAGTTAGGAGTCACCGCTTGTCTCCTTCCTAGTCCCAGACACGCTAGGGTGGGATCTGGGAGAGAAGAGGGGACTGGGAAATACTGCAACGAAGACTTCGGGAAGGTCCAGGACTGAGGGCAGAAGGAGCTGTCTGGGGCCACCAGAGAGACCATTTGAGAAACCCTGAACACCAGATGTGGGCGAGAGAGGAGAGTTCAGATGTCTCTTAGGTGGGGCTGCAGGGGATGGAACCAGCAGACGGGGTGTAGATGGTTTTGTGGGAAGGCAGATTTGTAAAGAGTGCAGGGCTGGCCGGGCGTGGGGGCTCACACCTGTAATCTCAGCACTTTGGGAGGCCGAGGTGGGCGGATCACGAGGTCAGGTGATTGAGACCATCCTGGCCAACGTGATAAAACCCTGTTTCTACTAAAATACGAAAAATTAGTCAGACACGGTGACACATGCCTGTAGTTGCAACTACTTGGGAGACTGAGGCAGGGGAATCGCTTGAACCTGGGAGGCGGTGGTTGCAGTGAGCCGAGATTGTGCCATTGCACTCTAGTCTAGGCGACAGAGCAAGACTCCATCTCAAAAGATTATGAGGCTGTCCAGCTAGGGGAGCAGGCAGGAACACCTGGCAGTGAAACCTGTCAGAGGGACAGATGAGAGGCCTGAGAGCAGCCACCTAAGGAGGCTGCGTGTTCATGCACCTCCCTGCTCAGAAGGCTGCAGTGGCTCTCTTTGCTCTCCTCACCCCGCTGAGCTGCTCTGTTAGACTCTCCTGCCCTGCTCAGGCTGCCCCAGTCGACCACCCTCCTCATCCTTCCCACCTGCCAGGCTGCTTCCCGTCTACCCATGCACCACCCCAATGCCTTCTCCCTCCCTCCCTCTCTTAAGCCTGCACATTGTCCACACATTAATTAAGGCCCAGCCATGCACTACCCCTCCCAGAAGTCCTCCCTAACGTTCCAGCCCGAATCTATGCAGCACTTAGGAAATGAAGCATCTTGTCCAGGTGTGGTCGCTCATGCCTGTAATCCCAGCACTTTGGGGGCCTGAGGCGGGTAGATCACTTGAGGTCAGGAGTTTGAGACCAGCCCTGGCCAACAAGGCAAAACCCCATCTCTACTAAAAATATAAAAATTAGTCGGCATGGTGGGAGGTACCTGTAATCCCAGCTACTCAGGAGGCTGAGGCAGGAGAATCACTTGAGCCTGGGAGGTGGAGGTTGCAGTGAGCCGAGATTGCGCCACACGGCACTCCAGACTGGGCAACAGAGTGAGACTCAGTCTCAAAATAAATAAATAAATAATATGAAGCATGACTTGGGCCTCACTCTGTGGTCTACATGGAATCGTTTCTGGGGAATCCATCATGGCTCCGTGGTTCCAAGGCAGCTCAGAAGCACGGCTTTCTCGTGCTAAGTCCAATGCTTTTTTGCCCTTGCCCTGCACTACTGGGGCACGAGAGTCACTAGGTTCTGCCATAGTAACTGACCCAACCTGTGTATCGTCATTTATTCATGCATTTTTCCGTTCACCGATGCATTCACTCTGTGGGTATCCACTGAATGCTTTGTGTCTAGTGTGTGTTTAGTGGAGGGAAGACAGAAAATGCTATTCGTGGTGATAACAGGAGTGGCAGCCATGCATGGAGTGCCTGCTGGGCGGCGGGCTCGCTGGGGGAGGAAGGTGATGGAGTGATTAAGGTGTAGGCCCTGGAACTGAGCCACAGATTCATGTCCCAGTTGCCATTTGTTGCATGACCCTCAGCAGGATATTTACCTTCTCTATGCCTGAGTTTCTCCACCCATCAAATGGGGCTAATGATGTATTTACCCAGAGGGTTGGTGTGAGGATCGGGTGAGAAAGTCTTTGGAAAGCATCTGCACAGTGGCTAAGTGTGCGGTGTGACTTCATCATGTATATTGTAATCCTGACAATTTCTGCAAGGAGGTTGTAGTACTCCCATTTTACAGAAGAGGCAACTGAGGCTCAGACAACACAGCTTTTAAGAGCAGAGACAGAGGCCGGGCACAGTGGCTCATGCCTGTAATCCCAGCACTTTGGGAGGCTGAGGCGGGTGAATTGCCTGAGCTCAGGGTTTGAGACCAGCCTGGACAACATGGTGAAACCCCATCTCTACTAAAAAATACAAAAAATTAGCTGGGCGTGGTGGCATACACCTGTGGCCCCAGCTATATGTGAGGCTGAGGCATGAGAATCGCTTGAACCCAGGAGGCAGAGATTGCAGTGAGCCAAGATTGTGCCACTGCACTCCAGCCCTGGGGACAGAGCGATACTGTCTAAAAAAAAAAAAAAAAAAAACAGCAGAGACAGGATCCAAACTTGATTTCTGTGTCCAAAGCCATGGAGATGCCTTCTATGCTGCTCCAGTCCAGGGCACAACCTACCCATAGTTAGGCAGAAAGGACCCTGGGAGAAGGGCAGCCATGGCCCAAGAACACTGAGGGCGTGAGGTCCCCTGCTTCATGGAGGGGGAGACTGGAGATGGGCCGTTAGAGGTTAGGCAGGTTGTCTAGAGGTACAGATAGGGAGGGAAGCCGTCCAGGGTGGGTTTGAACATGGGAAGTCCTGTGAGGGCTCTGGGATGCGGGCTGAGGGCAGAGTGTCTGGGCTCTGGCTGTTCTCTGGGGAGCCTCAGCTTGCATCCCCCCACTCTTTTCTGGCTCTGGAAGAGGGGTCCTGCCAGCAGCCACCCGTGTTTGAGGCAGTTGGGGCTGGGCCCTGGGCATGTCCTTGAGCCTGGAGGGGCCGCAGCCATCCTGAGCCACACCCACTGCCTGCAGGGAGACGTGGTGCGGCTGTTCCATGCGGAGCAGGAGAAGTTCCTGACGTGTGATGAGTACAAGGGCAAGCTGCAGGTGTTCCTGCGCACCACGCTGCGCCAGTCTGCCACCTCGGCCACCAGCTCCAATGCCCTCTGGGAGGTGGAGGTCAGAAGAGCCCCGCTTCTGGCACCCTGGACTCAGCCCTGGATGTCACCCCTCCCTCTTCCCCACCATCCTGGAGGGTGGGATATTGACCCTACCTCCCTCTGAGCCCCTCCAGAGTCAAAAGGCCAGGGAGAGTCTAGACTCCACCTACGAAGAGATCTCCAGGCCTCCCCGGGGTCTGAGCTCCCCCTGCCTGGCTAGTCCCTCCTTCCTGCCTCACCCCTGTGTGTCCCCAGGTGGTCCACCACGACCCCTGCCGTGGAGGAGCTGGGCACTGGAATGGCCTGTACCGCTTCAAGCACCTAGCCACGGGCAACTACCTGGCTGCTGAGGTGAGCGGGAGGCAGAGGGCATCCTGGGGACTCATGTTATATGCATGCACACATGGGTGTGCAGGAGCACTCGTGCACATATCTGTATATGTGGCACATGTGCCTATGGACCCTGACTTCTCTGCACTCATGCATTTAACCAACATTATCAAGTAAAGACATGATTGTGAAGAAGCCTAATAAATATCACTGTGCTTCTACTATGTGCCAGGCACTATTTGAGGCATTGGGGATACACAGTGAGCAAAACTTCCTGTCTGTCTGTAATGTACACACTTGTGTGTGTTGAGAGCACTGGGGTGTGTGTGTGTTCATTTGTGGTTCTATGGGGAGGGGCCATGAAGAGTCCCCCCAGAATGACATGGGCACCCCTGGGAGGGTAGAGGCCGCCTGCCCAAACCCAGGGCCCTATGTAGATGACCGTGTTTTGCAGTGGGGTTTCGTGGGTATAGTTTGGTGTACAGTAGCTCCCCCCACCATCTTGTATCTCTGTCCAGGAGAACCCTAGCTACAAAGGTGATGCCTCAGATCCCAAGACAGCAGGAATGGTGAGGAGCAGAGCAGGTCTCCAGCGAGATCTGGGGCTGCCATGGGGGTAGGCGGGGGCAGGGGATACCGTGAGACCCCGGGAGGTGGGCTGGAGGGAGACAGCCCCTTGGATGGGATCTGAGGTGTTTCAGGGGCCTGAGAGGAGGGAGGGCCTCCTACCTGATCTGAGGCCCTCACCCAGGGGGCCCAGGGCCGTGCAGGCCGCAGGAATGCTGGGGAGAAGATCAAGTACCGCCTGGTGGCCGTGCCTCATGGCAACGACATCGCCTCTCTCTTTGAGCTGGACCCCACCACATTGCAGAAAACTGACTCTTTGGTGCCCCGGTGGGTATGCGCTGTGTGCCTGGGGGTTGGCTGGTGGTGCTCAGGCTGGGCCCTCCTGTCTCTGGGACTCTCTGGATCCTACACTCCTCCACTCTCCTGAGGTCCTTTGGCTTCCGGGGTCTCTGCGGTCCCATCCCTCTGGGGATGCAGCTCTGAGGTCTATCGGTGGCTGACCACCATTGCATACCTCCACGTGCCTGGTGTCTGCCTGTCGGTCTGGGTGCTCAAGCGCAGGCTGCGTGACAGTTTGTCCAGGACACAGCAGCACGGGGAACCCAAACACCGGGTGGGGATGTCAGACTCTCTGGCCTTTGAGATCCCACCAGTCCTGGGATTCTAGGACAGACCTCGAGAAACTTCTCAGTGCCCTGGGTTTGGGCAGGTGGCCTCTACCCTCCCAGGCTTTGGCATTTCCTAAGCTGTGTGACCTCAGGCTGCTGCTCACTCTGCCTCATCTTTTCAGTGGGAACATCAGGTTTCCCGATCAACAGGGCTAATGGGAGAGTTAATTGAGTCACTACAAAGGCCCGTAGTCCCTTCCCTGAGACTCAGGGACAGAAGAATTTGGTATTCAGATTGTTTTTCATTTCAGAAAGGTAACCTTGTATTTTGTAATCACAGACACTGTGTATTTCTGTGTCATGCATGTGTTGCTATGAAATGTGTACATCTTGACATTCAAGGGGATAGTTAAATAGCCTCATTTATCCAAATGAATCTTGGTCCCAAGTTGACCGGGTGCCTGGGAGCGCTTCAGTTCTGGAAGTGTGGACAAGGTCGGGGCCCGTGTGAATGCAGTGGCCAGGACGGGGCTGGGCGCAGGGCTAGCTCTGCCTGCTCTTCTCCAGCCTCGGCCTCCTCACCTGGAGGGGCACCAGTGGCCCCTGTCCCACAGCTGTGGAGGGTGTGGAGTAGGGCGGAAGCTGTGACAGTGTTGGGGAGGTAGGCGGCAGGCAGCAGGACAGGCTCCGTGGTGCACTCCCTGAGTCCCCACCCTCCCACTGCCTGCAGGAACTCCTACGTCCGGCTGCGGCACCTCTGCACCAACACGTGGATCCAGAGCACCAACGTGCCCATTGACGTCGAGGAGGAGCGGCCCATCCGGCTCATGGTGGGGGTCCCTGGGGGTGGGGCTGGGGCTAGGGCCAGGGCCAGGGCTGGAGCTCGTTCTCAGGTGCCCTGCTGACCCCTGTCCCTGCAGCTGGGCACCTGCCCCACCAAGGAGGACAAGGAGGCCTTTGCCATTGTGTCGGTGCCCGTGTCCGAGATCCGAGACCTGGACTTTGCCAATGACGCCAGCTCCATGCTGGCCAGTGCCGTGGAGAAACTCAACGAGGGCTTCATCAGCCAGAATGACCGCAGGTGGGCCGCAGTGGCACAGAGGTTTTCTGAGTGATTTTGCCTTCCCAGGGCCTGCATTTCATGAAGAAAGGAGTCATGAAGCAGAAGCCGGGCAAATTGGGCTGGGGCAGGAGAGAGAGGGAGGGGCTGGCCCCTGTGGGGCCTTGGCTGAGCCTGGGACCCTGGCGTTGGGACCTGCCTCATGGCTCAGGTACTCCCAGAACTACTCCTATGATGGAGCTGGTCACTGCTGAGCCTGGTCTCGAGACCAGTTAACCCTGCTTTACTGATGACGGGGCTGAGGTTCAGGGAGGTCACGAGACTTGCCCAGGGTCACACAGCTAGTAAGTGGCAGAGTCAGGATGCAAATACAGCCCCCTCCACACCAAACTCCTCGCCTTGCGCCCTGCACTTCCTTTCCAGGCTGGAATATTCTGAGATTCTCTGTCTTGGGGGCACTTTGGAATCCAGGGTGGGTGGGGTTGGGCATGTTTGGAGAACATTTCAGGGGAAAGCCAGGGAGAGGAGTTGTAGGCTGAAGATGGGTTTTGTGCTTTGGGGGTTGCTGAGTGAACTCAGGAAAGCCAAGCTTTGGGAGGGACTGCCCACGAGGGGCACCTGCTGGGTGGGCATCTCACACTTGTCATCCCCGGTCCCCTCACCCAGGTTTGTCATCCAGCTGCTTGAAGACCTGGTGTTCTTTGTCAGTGATGTCCTCAACAATGGGCAGAATGTCCTGGACATCATGGTCACCAAGCCCAACCGGGAACGGCAGAAGCTGATGAGGGAGCAGAACATCCTCAAACAGGTGCGTGTGCACTACGGAGGGGCAAGGCGGGGCCGGGTGGCCGGGAGCGGGGTGCCTTGAACTGCCGGCTCAGCACCCCCTTTAATAACAAAAATCAGCATTTACCGGGCACGACCACAGGCCAGGCACTTCCCTAAGTGCCCCACATGTTTTGACAAATTTGATCCTCGCTGCCTGGAGGAGGTGCTGTGATTCTTACCCCGTTTTGCTGGCAAGGAAGCTGAGACGCAGGCCAGACTCACTTGGCCTAGGACTCCCAGCTAGGAAGCGACAGCCAGGATTTGAGCTCAGGATGTCAGGTCCAGAGCTGGGCTTCACATTTTTTTCCCTAAATTTTTATTATGAGAATCGTCAAATAGTGAGAAAGTATTGGAAGAACAGTACAGGGAACAAGGTGCGTCGCCGTTTTGCCGCCGTGGCGTCATGTAGTTCTATTCACACAGCCATCTTGCCGCCTACACATTTCAAAATAGGCAGCATTTTGCCCCTAAAAGTTTCAGCATGCATCCCTAACAATAGGGACATTGCCTTATATAACCATAGTGCATTATCACACATAAGAATTTTAGCAATACCAAGTCCATAGCACATTTCTCTAATGTTCCCAGAATGTCTTTGTAAACCTTGTTTTTTAAAAAAATGAGGATTCAATTAAGCTTTTTTCATTCCATTCTGTTGCTCTGTCTCTGTTCCTGTACAATTTTTCACCTCTCCACCAAACCCCACCTTTAAAAAATTTTTGTAATTAATGTAACATTTTACTTGGACAAGGAAAGCCTGTGTCTCATCTCTTAAGCTCCGGCCACAGCGGCCTGGCCCGCCTTTTCTCTTAGCCTCAGACCCTGAGCTGCAGTGACCTTCTGCTCTTTCCCCAGGCCCCAGATCTGAGCTGGGATTAGAATCTGAATCAGGGAGGCATGTGCTAGGATCAGCTTAGGGATTCCAACAAGGAGCTGGGGAGAGCTGGGGCTGGAACTGGGGCTGAGGATGGCTGGGCTGGGGTTGTGGTCCAGCTTAGAATCAGCTTGAGGTGCTGGGTGCGTTGGCTCACATCTGTAATCCCAGCACTTTGGGAGGCCAAGGCAGGCAGATCATGAGGTTAGGAGATCGAGACCATTCTGGTCAACATGGTGAAACCTCGTCTCTACTAAAAATACAAAAAAATTAGCTGGGCGTGGTGGAGCACGCCTATAGACCCAGCTACTCAGGAAGCTGAGGCAGGAGAATTGCTTGAACCCAGAAGGTGGAGATTGCAGTGAGCTGAGATCATGTGATTGCACTATAGCCTGGGCGACAGTGCAAAACTCCATCTCAAAAAAAATATATATATCAGCTCAAGGCTGATGTCCAGGCTGGCTTTGGGGCAGAGTCAGCAGGGGCTCAGGGCTTGTGGGATGACTTAAGGGTACAGACCAGTGTGGGGGAATCAGTCCTCATCCTCTGTGTTCCCCCAGATCTTCGGCATTCTGAAGGCCCCGTTCCGCGAGAAGGGGGGTGAAGGTCCCCTGGTGCGGCTGGAGGAGCTGTCAGACCAGAAGAACGCCCCCTATCAGCACATGTTCCGCCTGTGCTACCGCGTGCTGCGGCATTCCCAGGAGGACTACCGCAAGAACCAGGTGCGCGCCGCCTGCTGCCCACTTGCTGGCTACCCCTTATTTCCTCAGCAAGTATTTCCTCAGGCGCATGTGCTGTGTCAGGCACTGTTTTGGGGCCTGGAGTCTGGTAGGACACCAGACAGCAAGGCCGGGTTCATGGGAATGGGACCTGGCCTGGTGCTCACAAGGGCCTTGCACTGGGTTAGATGCTCTGCTGCCGAGCAAGGGTCCTGCTCTTTCATTTTGCACTGGGCCCTGCACGTTATGTCGTCCATCCTTCCAGACAGATAAGGACCCTGTCCTCGTGGAGGTTTCGCCCTGGTGGGAAACAGCCCATAAGCTAAATAACCATGTGATCTAAGCCACTCTTCTGCCCAGTGCTGCTTCCTCTCCTGGACCTCTGCCTTTCTAGGGTGTTGTGTCCCTACCTTGGGGTCTGGGGGCAGTGTTCCAGAGCAGAGCTGGGCCCCGGGCTCCGCCCATGACTCTCTATGACCCCCAGCCTGTCTGCCCCCCAGGAGCACATCGCCAAGCAGTTTGGGATGATGCAGTCCCAGATTGGCTACGACATCCTGGCGGAGGACACCATCACCGCCCTGCTGCACAACAACCGCAAGCTCCTGGAGAAGCACATCACCAAGACCGAGGTGGAGACCTTCGTCAGCCTTGTGCGCAAGAACCGGGAGCCCAGGTGGGCCCGACCCCCTCTGCGGCCAGTGCCTGCCCCTTCGTCCTCCCTTGCATGGGTAGAAAGTCTGCTGGTTGTAAGAATACTGAACTATTCCTGCACCTGTTGGTAACTGCCACCTCCCTGAGGCCCTAGCCCCCTTAGCTCTTCTCTGGGATCCTCCCAAATTTGGCCCACTCTAGCAACAATGGGAATAACTCCTGGTACCATGGGAGGCCCCCAAGACCTTCTCCAGTGACAAAGTCAGGACCCGTATGAACTAGTTGTTAAATATTTTGAATATCACCTCAGCTCTTGCACCTCCTCACCCTGACCCCCTGAACTCCCACCTAGCCTTCCGTGACCCCAGGGTGATGCCCTGGGACTGTCCTTCCTTGGGGAGCTGGGAGTCCATCCCACCCATCTCCAAGCATTGAGAGGGAGCTAGTTCCAGGGTGTTGGTGCTCCCAGCTGGGGAGTGGGAAGGGTGGGCTCTGTCCTTAGAGGGACCAGCCTCTGAGCCCCTCTCCCCACCCTTGGCTGTCACCACCCCAGGTTCCTGGACTACCTCTCTGACCTGTGTGTGTCCAACCACATTGCCATCCCCGTCACCCAGGAGCTCATCTGCAAGTGTGTGCTGGACCCCAAGAACAGCGACATTCTCATCCGGACTGAGTGAGCCCTGCACCCCTGCTGGCACCCGCACTCCACGCTGCTGGCCCCCAGCTGTCTTAGAGCTTAGGCCCTGTCTGGGTACAGGCTGGAAGTAGCACCCTTGCTCTCTGCAGCTGTGAACCCTGTGCCTGTCACATGCCCTGCTGTATGCCTGGTACTGTGGGGGAGTGGGGAAGGGGCACAGAGGAGAGTGAGCCATGGACCTTGTCCTTGAGATGCTCATGGCCTGTCTGGGTCCCCGTGGTGGCTGGCACTGTGCAGCTGGGGAGGGCTCCAGGCATGGCACTCTTGCCTGGGCTCCCTCTGACGGGGTGCTGGTGGTCTGCAGGCTTCGGCCCGTGAAGGAGATGGCCCAATCCCACGAGTACCTGAGCATTGAGTACTCAGAAGAGGAAGTGTGGCTCACGTGGACCGACAAGAATAACGAGCACCATGAGAAAAGTGTGAGGCAGCTGGCCCAGGAGGCGCGGGCTGGCAACGCCCACGACGAGAACGTGCTCAGCTACTACAGGTGCCCGGCCTCAGCTCCTAGTCTCCCTCTTCCTGTACCTCTGGGCCTTCCCAGTAGTCTGTCAGCCAATCCCTGCTGAAGATGAGCTCTGACAGCCTCAAGTGGGGCTCCTGCCTCCTTGGAAGAGGCATCCCTACTGTCACTCCCCTGCCACACAGCCTCATTTCAGGAAGGCTGAATGAAGAGGACTGTGTGCCTTGAATAGCACTGGGCAGCCTTGAGGCCAGGCTCAGCACAGGAACCAGGCTTCAAAGAAACCCAGCCTGTTTCCAAACGTGTATATTATTAAAATAATCTCACCAAATTAGCTGGTCATGGTGGTGCACAGCTGTAGTCCCAGCTACTCAGGAGGCTGAGGCATGGGAATTGCTTGAACCCAGGGGACAGAAGTTGCAGTGAGCCGAGATCACACGACTGCACTCTAGCCTGGGTGACAGAGAAAGACTCTGTCTTAAAAAATAAAAATAAAAAATAGTCACATCAGACACCCTTCTTAAATGCTTGCCAAGTAGCAGGCACTGTTTTAAGCACTTGTCCTGATCACTCATTTGAGCCACATGACAACCCTGGTTGTAGCTACTATAGTTACTCTTGTTGTAAAGCTGGGGAAACAGTGGCACAGAGAAGTAAAGGAACTTGCTCACGGTTACACAGCCATCAGTGGTGAGTCACGGCTCACACCCAGGCTGTCTGGCTCCAGAGCCCCCTGGAAGTCATGTCTGTGAGGAGGAGGCAGAGGGCCTGGCATCACCAGGGCAGCACAGAACTTCCTATGTTCCTCATTTTTGTATCCCATCCATCAAGGTCGCACCCCTTTCACCACCTCCCCTCCCCCCCCATGTTGCCCTCACCCTCCCTGCCCAAGGCTGGCTCTTCTCACCTCGCTGCCCTCCCCTGTCTCCCACCCTTTCCCTCATCTCTTAGACGTTCCTCTTCCCATAAAGACCATCCTGGCTGAGCCTGATAGCAAGGAGGGGGAGAATCCCAAGTACTCGCCATCACAGACAGGTTTTCTGTTCACCTTTCTCACCGGTGCATCTTTAACCTAATCCCTTTGCCACTTTACTGAATCCTCACGAAGCCCAGCGCCCAATGCCAGCAGCCCCCTGGCTGCCATCTGCCGTGTCCTCACTGTCCTCCCTGTCCTGCAGGTACCAGCTGAAGCTCTTTGCCCGCATGTGCTTGGACCGCCAGTACTTGGCCATCGATGAGATCTCCCAGCAGCTGGGCGTGGACCTGATCTTCTTGTGCATGGCGGATGAGATGCTGCCCTTTGACCTTCGCGCCTCCTTCTGCCACCTGATGCTGCACGTGCATGTGGACCGTGACCCCCAGGAGCTGGTCACACCCGTCAAGTTTGCCCGTCTCTGGACTGAGATCCCCACAGCCATCACCATCAAGGAGTGAGAGGGGTGGAGGCAGGGTGGGCGGGGCAGGGGCAGAGGCTGGGGTGGGTGCATCTCAGGGACCTTCATGCCTTATGGCCCCCACCCTCAGCTATGATTCTAACCTCAACGCGTCCCGAGATGACAAGAAGAACAAGTTTGCCAGCACCATGGAGTTCGTGGAGGACTACCTCAACAATGTGGTCAGCGAGGCCGTGCCCTTTGCCAACGAGGAGAAGAACAAGCTCACTTTTGAGGTGACTGGGGGAGTGCCAGGGGCTGGGGTCTGTGGGGCTCTGGTTGGCCCCACACTGGCCTCAGTCTGCACCCAGAAGTGAGTTGTGGGATCCACGACCCCACTTCTTTCTGTGCCCCCAGCCAGTGTGGGAGGGAGGGGACACCGCTTAAAAGGCTGAGATTCTCTAGAGGCAGGTTCCTGTTCCAATGCCTGAGAAAGGGCTACCTCTCCCTGCTCTGCTCTCCCTCCGGGGAACCCTGCCCTCAGGACGCCCCTTTCGCCCTGGTTTCCCCATCCCGGCCGGCCCTCCACGAGGCCCCGCCCCCGTGCACCGGCCCCGCCCACCTCACCTCGGGCCCGCCCCCTCCGCAGGTGGTCAGCCTGGCGCACAATCTCATCTACTTCGGCTTCTACAGCTTCAGCGAGCTGCTGCGGCTCACTCGCACGCTGCTGGGCATCATCGACTGTGTGCAGGGGCCGCCGGCCATGCTGCAGGCCTACGAGGACCCCGGCGGTGAGGCCTTTGCCCGGCTGGGGCCAACCTGGCGGTCCTCAGCCTCCTCCTAGCACAGGAAGTCCCCTCAGAGCAACACCTGACCCAGCCCCGCATCCCGCCCACCCAGCCTGGCTTTGCCTTAAGCGCAAGCGCAAGCGGGTATCTTGGGCCCAAGCCCCTCCCACCTCAGCGGGACCAAAGGGGTCCCTGCTCGGACTCCCTGAAGACCCTGGGTCTGGGGGAGTTGCCCTCCAACGCTGCTTAGTCTTGAGAGGAAACAGTGAGGGAGGAGCGAGACATCCCTGTGATGGGGTGTGAGGAGGGAGGCACAGCTTGTCTGAGGGATGAGGGCACCCCTGCCCTCCCAGATACCCCCAGGCTGAATAAACTCATCTAAAAAGGTGCCTAGAGCCTGGCACTGGTTTTCAGGGCTGTTCCCCCTGCAGTGTCCCCTCACTCCCCAGGCTGTGTAGCTGCTCTCATAGTTTCCTACAGAGAATTCTGTCATCTCCTCACACAGCTCACCTTTGCCCTGACACTCCTTTCTTTTCTCAGATTTGGCTTAAAGCTCACATCCTCCAGGAAGCCTTCCTGGGTTAACCCTGTCCCTTCCTTAGCAAGGCTTTGTGCTGCAGCTGACATAAACTGAGTGTGCACATTCTGCCTCCCTCATCAGACCAGGAATCCCCCACTATACACCCTCTACAACTCCTAGGCAACCTCCTCTGCTCCCCGCTCCACAGGCAAGAATGTGCGGCGTTCCATCCAGGGCGTGGGGCACATGATGTCCACCATGGTGCTGAGCCGCAAGCCGTCCGTCTTTGGTGCCCCCAGCTTGTCTACCGGGGCCAGTGCTGCGGAGCCGCTGGACAGAAGCAAGTTTGAGGAGAATGAGGACATTGTGGTGATGGAGACCAAGCTGAAGATCCTGGAAATCCTTCAGGTGCCTTGGCCAGGACCCTGGGGGAGGTGTTGGGGATAGGGGCAGGGCAATGGGGCAGGTACAGGGAGGCTGGGCGGGCAAACCCATTCAGGTCTCAGTATCTCATACTGGAAGGCTCCATCGTGATTGGCTGTCAGGCCCCACGGTTCCCGCAGTGTGGTTCTTGGGCCAGCCTCTCCTGGGAACTTGTTAGAAATTCGCATTCTTAGTTGGGCGTGGCTCACATCTGTAATCCCAGCACTTTGTGAGGCCAAGGTGGGAAGATTGCTTGAGCTCAGAGTTCAAGGCCTGCCTGGGTGAGACCCCTCTATCTTTATTGGAAAAACAGTAACAATGATAAATAAATAAAAATAAAAACAGAAATGCACATTCTCAGGCTCCCACCCTAGACCTACTGAGTCAGGAACACTGGAGAGGGGCCTGTGGGCTGTGTTGTGACAAACCCTCCAGGTGACTGTGATGTGCACTGAAGTCTAGCTCAATTCTCCCGCCTTACAAAATGGGAAAGTAAATGGATTGAGGGGACTTTGCCAAGGTCACAGGGATTCCGAAGCAGAGCTGGAGATTTAAGAACCTATTTCTTGGTGAGGTGGACACAGTCATCCCTGTTCTGGTCTCATCTGAGACTCCCCAGCCACACCCCAGAAAGGGGCTCATCCCCAAAGAGGAATGAGGATGCTTGCTTTTTTTTTTTTTTTTTTTTTTTGCCTTGCTGTCACCAGAGGGCAGGAAGGGTAGTGCAGTGACCTCCATGGGGGACCTCTGGTGGGGGGAAGGGAGTGGTCAGAGAAGAGGGATCTCCTGACTCATTCTGGGGGCTGGGGGCTTCCATGTCTGCATCCTGGGGCTTGGCCAAAGGCTCTGTGCCCCCTGGGGCTGTGTAACTTACCCATGTCTGTAAGCCCTGCATCCTCATGTCTGCCCCACAGTAGCCTCTCCTGCTCCTTCACAGGCCTCAGTTTTCCTGCCTGTGAGTATCCAGGGTCTGTTTGGCTGAGCAGGATAGGAGGACAAGAGTCAGCCTTTGGACCTGGGGCTTCATTCCCCTTCCTGACAGTGGGAAAGAGGGACTGATTGGGCTGGGCGCAGGGGTGCTCACTGCCTCATGCTGAGGGGAGGCCCCCCCATCCTCCATCATTGGAGCAGGAGCTGGGGAGAGGGCACCCTGGGCCTCCTTGGGAAGAGGGGTCTTGTTTTTTTTTGCCGTGACATCCTGGAGCATCCTGAACGACTGTGCTGAGGACCCCCTCACCCCAAGTGCTGGATCCCATTTGGGGTCCCCATATTCCTCATGGAGTAGGAAGGGCCTTCTTGTAGGGCTGAAGGCTCACAGGGTCGTGGAGTGTGCCTTATGCTGTGCTGAGGCGCAGGATCTGAGAAATAAAGAGACAGGACACTGAAGTACAAGGAAAACGCAGCTGGGCTCAAGGGGCCACGCCACCTAAGAGCGGAGTCAGGCGAGGCCCCAAATGTACAGAAGCGTATTTATTGTGTGTAGGTTAGAGGGCAGGGCAGTGAGTGTAATCATCTTTAAGGATAGTGATAGGGTCGTGAGCAATAAAACAAGGGGTCCACCTACATTAGGTCACCTGGACTAGGAGGTGGACAGTGCACAGCAAGGGGCCTGTTCCCATCAAGGCAAGGGCCATGTGCAGTAAGGGGTCCACCCCTATTAGGTCATCGAGGCTTGAAGGTGGGCCATTCACAGTGAAGAGGGTGCAGTGTGCAATCCCTCTATCTATGGGCTGGGTGTGGTGGCTCACGCCTGTAATCCCAGCACTTTGGGAGGCTGAGGTGGGTGGATCACCTGAGGTCAGGAGTTTGAGACCAGCCTGGCCAACATGGTGACATCCCATCTCTCTATAAAAAAATAAAATAAAATAAAATAAATACTTCTATCTGTGGGCAAACTACTTCTAAGAAGATTTATGGGGGGATGCTTTAAGTCACACAGTAGTGACAGAGCTGTCAGGGTTACCACCACCTGCTGCCAGCTTCCAATGAGTTCTATGGGAAGATGCTTTTCGAGCAGCACAGTAGCAAGAGCTGATAAAGTTCACAGTCACCAAGGTGGATTGCCAGTCTGAGGGCAGCCTTCCACAAGAACTGGAGCAAGGTCCTACAACTCCTTTATCAGGAGGAGTGGCTCTCGCCCCAAGCCTGACATGCAGCGGGTATCTTTACGATGCTGAACGCTGCCGCCTGAGCCATGGATTCTTGTCCTGGTATAACTGTTTTCCCTTAAATCATGCTCTGCACTGTGTCTGTTCCAGACATTCCTCCGATTATAAGCTGCTTATTCCTTAATTCATGCTCTGTACTGTGTCCACTCTAGGCATTCCTCCGATTATGAACTAAGATATAATTATACATATATGTAAGGAAATATTCTTTAGGCACTCATACTATCAACTATTAGGGATAGTTGATAGGGATTCTTCAAGCTCTAATTCTAGAAACTAATATATGATTATATAAAGGATTATATAAAAGGAAATAGCTGGGTAGTAACACTATAACCTGAGAGATTCTTCAAGCCCTAATTGTGCCAGGGTTCTGCTTAGCTCTCATTCCTTGGTGCCTATATGGGGGGTTATCCGCACCTTCTGACCTCAGATCAGTCCTCACCCCATCCTCATGTGACCCTCTCCCCATTCTTTCCCCCTTCTCCAGTTCATCCTCAATGTCCGCCTGGATTACCGCATCTCCTATCTGCTGTCTGTATTCAAGAAGGAGTTTGTGGAGGTGTTTCCCATGCAGGACAGCGGGGCTGACGGCACAGCCCCTGCCTTCGACTCTACCAGTGAGCCCCTGCGCTGCCTTCAGGCTGAGGCCGTGTGACTCCCCCGGGGATACACAGCAGCGGGGTGGAGCCAGCTCCCCAGCCCTGCTCCTTTTTCTAGTCTGCAAAAGTCTTTTCTCTCCATTGTCTCATTTAATTGCCTCAGTGAGGGAGAGGGGCAGGGATCCTTCCCTTCATTTTCCAAATGGGGAAACTGAGGCTCACAGAAGAGCAGGGATTTGCTCAAGGTGACAGACAGTCAGAGGCTGAGCCAGACCAAGAACCAGTCTCCTGACTCCCAGGCTAGATTTCTGCCCACCTTGTACTGCCCTGCAGGGCAGTGGGGGGCTGTGGCTCCTACCCTACTTGATTCCTTCCCAGAAAGGCGCAGGCAGAGCAGCTGCTGCAAAGCCAGTGCAGGGAAGAGGGTGGTTTGAGTGTGTTCCTGTGCTTCCCTGTTTCCCGGGCTGGGCCTATCACCTGCTGCCATCTGCCCCTCTCCCCCACAGCTGCCAACATGAACCTGGATCGCATTGGGGAGCAGGCGGAGGCCATGTTTGGAGTGGGGTGAGTCCAGGGTTGAGCTGCAGGGGTGTGTGGGGTTGGGAGGCTTGACACCCCGTCTTGGGCTAGTCTGGGTTCTGGGGCCGCCCTTCCTCTCTGCCATTCCCCCTGCAGACAGACCCTCACTGGGCTTTGTGCTCAGTCCCTCCACTGCCTCCCCAGTCCCAGTTATCTGGGGGCCGCTTGGTTCCCAGTCATCCTCCCATTCCCCTGCCCACACTAAGGGCAGGTGTGCCTCACTTGTGCAGTGGACTTGAGTCAGGTAGCTGGACGCACGTCTCTGGTCCCATGGCAGGGAGGAGGTGTGGGGACATGCAGCCCATCCACCCGCAGCCCTGAGAGGCTGGAGACAGAGGCTCACAGGGGGATCTTAGCATCTTGGGGCTGGGCTTGTGTCTGGGTCTAGCAGGACCTACGGACTCCTTTTCAGAATGGTGATTGTAAACTCATAAAATAAAGCATATAACAAGACAAAGGGGACCAATGGCTTGGAGTGACAGTTATGTATATGGCTCTTTGCTAACACTTTAAGTAGCAAGCCGTACTGATGCGTATAATTAGTACCATTACTTCAAGGCAGTGATGAATATAAACAAAATTTTGTGATTTCTCTTAACTCTGAGGTGATGTGAAAACATCTGTGATATTTATTGGTGACAGACTCGCAGGTGCCACAAATATTTCCTCATTGAAGGAAATGCTGTATTTTGGTTAGAGGTTGGGAAAAATAAAGATGTAACATTTTCTCCATCTATCTGTTCATGGGCCCAGCTTCTATCCATGAATCTGTGTTAAAAGTCTTTGCTTCTGGCTGGGTATGGTTGCTCATGCCTGTAATCTCAGCACTTTGGGAGTCCGAGGCAGGCAGATCACTTGAGGTCAGAAGTTCGAGACCAGCCTGGCCAACATGGTGAAACCTCGTCTCTAATAAAAATATAAAAATCAGCTGGGCATGGTGGCGCACACCAGTAATCTCAGTTACTCAGGAGGCTGAGGCAGGAGAATCATTTGAATCCAGGAGGTGGAGGTTGCAGTGAGCTGAGATCGTGCCTGGCTGCACTCCATCCTGGGCGACAGACCAAGACTCTGTCTCAAAAAAAGAAGTCTTCGCTTTAATTGCTTAATCAAGGGAGTCCTGAGAGATCCCAGGAGACACAGGGGTCACTCTGGGGGTTCAGGGCAGTGGCTGTTAAACTGCCGAGAAAGCGTCAATATTTTAAACACATGTAGACTGGCCCTGCATCTGCTAATTGGGTGGTGGGGAGTGGGCTTGTGCCAGGGCCTGTGACCTGCCACAGACAGCAGGGAGTGTGCCAGCCTCACCCATGCACCCTGCACTGCTGTGCCCGCAGGAAGACGAGCAGCATGCTGGAGGTGGACGACGAGGGCGGCCGCATGTTCCTGCGTGTGCTCATCCACCTCACCATGCACGACTATGCGCCACTGGTCTCGGGTGCCCTGCAGCTGCTTTTCAAGCACTTCAGCCAGCGCCAGGAGGCCATGCACACCTTCAAGCAGGTGATGGGACCACCTGGGCCTGGCCCTGGCCCTGAGCATTAGGCCTGCGCTGGGCACAGGGGATGGTAAACAATAATTAAGGAGCCCACAGCTCAGGGGGCAACTTGGGATGCACATTTGGGGTTTTCAGCCTTGCTGAGCTCCTAGGTGAAGACTGGATCTTGGCCACCTTTGTCTCCTGGCCTGGCTCAGTGCCTGCCACTTCTTATCATGTGGGCAGCACTTTACAGTTTGCAAACTCTGTTATGGGCACCTATGCTATATGCTTCAAATCACACCTAGCCTGCAGGCAACCTTCACTAACGTGACTGGTGTTTGCTGTTGTGATGTCACACAGTCCCGACAGCTCCCTGTGAAATATCTGTACCAGTCAGTGTTGGCCTTTAAAAATAAGTGCCTGCCATGTACCAGGCACTGAGCACGGGACTTGCATGACTGCATGGCATTCCCTGGCAGCATGGTTACTCTCCCCATTCCAGAGCAGGTAGAAATCCAGGCTCAGGGAGCTTTCCTCCCTTGCCCACTGACCCAGAGCGAGCACGGTGGCAGTCAGACGTGGGCCTGGTCTTCAGGGCTCAGGGCTGCCAATTCCTTTGCCTGCCTGTTTGGGGTCTCAGTGGATGAGTGACAGGCCACAGCCACATGTGACACTAGTCAGTGAGTAACTGAAACCAGGTGATGTGGCAGCTCAGGGCAGGCAGTGCGGGGAGGCCTGTGGCCATAGGAGGAGGCTTCCTGGAGGTGGTGGGCTTATGGCAGAGCCAGAAACTTTGAGTGGGAATGGGCTCACCAGAGAGGGACAGGTGGTGGTAGGTGATGCTGGGAGGGGAACCCTGGAGTGGGGAAGGTGCTGGAGGTCTCTAAGTGGCATGCACCTGGAGCCCATCTCACCGGCCGGGCCCATCCTCCACCTTCAGGTGCAGCTGCTGATCTCGGCTCAGGACGTGGAGAACTACAAGGTGATCAAGTCGGAGCTGGACCGGCTGCGGACCATGGTGGAGAAGTCGGAGCTGTGGGTGGACAAGAAGGGCAGCAGCAAGGGTGAAGAGGTGGAGGCAGGTGCCGCCAAGGACAAGAAGGAGGTGAGCGGGGCTGCAGGGGGCTGGGGCAGGCCTCCCTCCCAGGGCTGGGCCTGGCTACCTCCATTCTCTCTGTGCTCTCAGCGGCCCACGGATGAGGAGGGCTTTCTGCACCCGCCAGGGGAGAAGAGCAGTGAGAACTACCAGATTGTCAAGGGCGTGAGTGGTCAAGGGTCCTCGTGGTAGGGTTCTGCAGCGCTAATGGTCCTGGGGGCTCCTGCTGGCCCGGCCTCCTGTGCCTCTCCCTCTGCCGGCCACTGGCCCTCACAACAGACATTATCCATCCTTTGCTACACATTAAAAACAGCCCTGCCAAGGTCCAGATGGAATTATTTTAAAGCTGAGGGAATTTCATGAAATTCCATTTTGCAGTCATATTGTTCTGTTTACCTTTATGGGTGGAATTGGGTTTTTTAGTGCTTCCCTGGCCTGTTGTGAGGATCTGTTTCAACACCTGTGACCTCCGTCCCCCTTCCTGTCCCAGTGCCAGCTGGAACTTGGCTGTGGTGGGCGGGGTAGAGGGGAGCAGAGGGAAGGGACTCCAGCTCACCCACCTCCCCTGCAGATCCTGGAACGGCTGAACAAGATGTGCGGGGTTGGGGAGCAGATGCGGAAGAAGCAGCAGCGGCTGCTGAAAAACATGGACGCTCACAAGGTCATGCTGGACCTGCTGCAGATTCCCTACGACAAGGTGGCCTTGACTTCTGACCTCTGACTCCCCGGGGGCGGCTTCCCCCGAACCCTGACTCGTACACTAGGCCCTAATGCAGGCGACCTCTCCCGGCATCACCTGGTCTCTTATACTGCCCTGTTGGTTTGCAGACACGCCTTGACCCCGGACCCTGTCTTAGCGTCAGCTCAACATTTGACCCTCTGCCCCTCATCCTAATCCCCTCTGACCTTGATTTAACCCCTGCCTCACACTGATTCTTGACCTTGACCTCTTTTTCTTCCCCCTCTCTAGCCAAACCTTGATGATCTCAGCTTCCTTACCTTGACCCATGTTGACCCTAACCGAATCCAACCTCTGATGACCCATGACATCAGTGATGGCCTTGTCCAGACCCCCTCCTTTTTTATTTTTTGAGACAGAATCTCGCTCTGGTGCCAGGCTGGAGTGCAATGGCGCAATCTTGGCTCACTGCAACCTCTGCCTCCCAGGTTCAAGCAATTCTCCTGCCTCAGCCTCCCGAGTAGCTGGGACTATAGGCGCGCACCACCATGCCCAGCTAATTTTTGGTTTATTTTTAGTAGAGATGGGGTTTCACCATGTTGGCCAGGATGGTTTTGATTTCTCGACCTTGTGATCCGCCAGCCTCGGCCTCCCAAAATGCTGGGAATATAGGCGTGAGCCACCGCGCCCAGCCCTGACCCCTGGTTTTGATTCCTCCTCCTAACATTTTATGCTGACCTGTCCCCAGGCCCACCCTGGCTCCTGACTCCAATCTTAGTCTCATCTCCACCTTTGACCCTCAGCCCTTTGCCATGACTGATCCTGATCTCGGTGTGTCTCAGGCCTCACCCTGAGGCTGACTCTGACCCTGTCAGTTTGCCCCAACTCCAGCTTTACCTCGGCCATTGAGCCCCAGCCCCTCACGTTTCCATCCTGACTTTTCCCTTTACACTGGCCTCTTCAAGGTCCCAGTCCCAAGCGCGATCCACCCCTGCTCAGAACTCAGCCGGGGCCTCGCCTCCCTCCTTGGTGGGCCCAACACCCTCTCCCCGCCTTCTGTGCCCAGGGTGATGCCAAGATGATGGAGATCCTGCGTTACACGCACCAGTTCCTGCAGAAGTTCTGTGCAGGGAACCCCGGCAACCAGGCCCTGCTGCACAAGCACCTGCACCTCTTCCTCACGCCAGGGGTGAGGGCGAAGGGCTGGGGTGTTGGTGGGGGCGGAGCCCAGACCCCTTTCTGACAGACATCCCACCCCCTGCACCTGCAGCTCCTAGAGGCAGAGACCATGCAGCACATCTTCCTGAACAACTATCAGCTCTGCTCCGAGATCAGCGAGCCCGTGTTGCAGCACTTTGTGCACCTGCTGGCCACGCACGGGCGCCATGTGCAGTACCTGGACTTCCTGCACACCGTCATCAAGGCCGAGGGCAAGTACGTCAAGAAGTGCCAGGACATGATCATGACTGAGGTGAGGGCGGGGCCGAGGGCGCTCGGGGATCTTGGGGTGGGGGGCCAGAGCGAAGGCTTGTGGGAAGTCCACAGAGTTAGACCAGTTGGACGGTGGGTCACAAAAAGAACACTCAGCTGCTGGACCATGGAGGGGACGCAGAGGGAGAAGTGAGGCTGCAGGCGTGGTAGAACTGAGGCTGTGGGCCTGACAGAACTTGAGCAGGGTCCCAGCAGCACCAGGCACCTAGCAGAACTCAGACAATAGGCCAGAAAGCAATCAAGCATGCTTTCCTTCACTTGTCACCTAGCATTGTTTATTTAATGTCACGAAGTACCTGCTACGGGCCATGGACTGTACGTGCACGTGGAGGTCAGCTGAGTGTCAGCTCCTAGGGGGCAGGGGCAGGGACCCTGTCCTTTGTGTGCATCGCCAGGGCCCCAGGGTGTGGCGCATAGTAGGTCCTCAAGAGACACCTGCTGAGTGAAGGCACAAAAGATAAAGGGCTGAATCTAAATCTGGAACAGACGCGGTCCCTGCCCCTGAGCATCTGACAGTGTAGGCGGTAGGGGGAGAAAGGAGCAAACACTGAAGGGAGATTAGGACATCATAAACAAGACACGATGTGCTGAAGTGCTGTGTGGTGTTAATTATTAATTGCTATTATTATATTACTGCAAATAACGCAATTGCCGGCACGAGACGGATGCCAGCAATTACAAGGGATGCGAGGGGGAACACAGGGGAGGGAGGGGTGGGCAGAGGTGGGATTAGAGAGGGCTTCCTGGAGGAAGCTGCCTCTGAGATGACCCCCATAGGACTTCTTTCCAGTGGGGAGAAGCGGGGACTTCTCAGCTGGCAGAGGGCCTGAGACATCAGCTGGGGAACCCCCAAATCCCAGGTGGGGAGGGTTTTCCTGATTTTGAGTGAGGGCTGTGGTCAGACTCCCAGTCTCTCCCTGGTGAGCAAAGGAGAGGACAGCCCAGGGCCTGCTGGACCGACAGAGTGTGACACATGCCCCTCCCTCCCGCAGCTGACCAATGCAGGTGACGATGTGGTCGTGTTCTACAACGATAAGGCGTCGCTGGCCCACCTGCTGGACATGATGAAGGCTGCTCGCGATGGTGTGGAGGACCACAGCCCCCTCATGTACCACATTTCCCTGGTGGACCTGCTGGCTGCCTGCGCCGAGGGCAAGAACGTCTACACTGAGATCAAGTGCACCTCCCTGCTGCCACTGGAGGACGTGGTGTCTGTGGTGACGCATGAGGACTGCATCACCGAGGTGGGGATCAGGCGACTGGGAGAGAAGGCTGGAGATGGGGCGAAGGGGTGGGTAAAGCCACGGGACAGGAAATGCGGGTGAAGCAAAAACAGGGAGGTGGGCAGGAACCAGGAGGCCTGGGGACAGGAGCAATGGGGAGGTAGAACCCTGCCCGGCAGCCCTGCTCATGCCCATGACCTCCTGCCTGCTGCCCAGGTGAAAATGGCCTACGTGAACTTTGTGAACCACTGCTACGTGGACACGGAGGTAGAGATGAAGGAGATCTACACCAGCAACCACATCTGGACGCTCTTTGAGAACTTCACCCTGGACATGGCTCGGGTCTGTCCCCGTGGGGGTTGTGGGTGACATTTCCCAGGGGGGTGGGAGTGGAGGGGCCCCTGGGTGGACCCCCCAGGCATCCCCCTCTCCTCTCCTGCCTCAGGTCTGCAGCAAGCGTGAGAAGCGCCTGGCTGACCCCACCCTGGAGAAGTATGTGCTGAGCGTCGTGCTGGACACCATCAACGCCTTCTTCAGCTCCCCGTTCTCCGAGAACAGCACCTCCTTGCAGGTGGGCTTCTGCTCTCCCACCCCAGGGCCGACTTGCCCTTCTTCTGTGAAGGGAAGAAGGGACATAAGTATATTCATATTTGCTTATGGTACATAAAGAAGTAGCAAAAGGATACACAAGTGTAGTAGTTATCTATGCCGTGTTAACACATTATCCCCAAACCTAGCAGTTTAAAACATGCATGTGCTATCTCAGTGTCTGTGGGCCAGAATTACAGTGGGAATGGTCCCATCCAGCAGGAACTCCTATGTCCGGTGGGTGTGGCGGATCCCAGAGTGGCAGCACTTACCAAAGATAGGTGGACATGCCGTGCATGGGACGTCACAGCCAAAGCAGGGATCACGACAGTGTCCCTGGCAGAGGTCCTTCCTGCTGGCTAGTTGATCATAGCAATCCTAGAACTGAAATAGGCAGGCAGCCTTCTGAAGTCCTAAGCAGAAAAGCTCCAGGCTAGTGTGCAGAAGCCTGATTTGAATCGCTGCAAGATTCATGGCTCCTTGGTCAATCCCCAGATTTCCAGACCCGAGCCAGTGCTTAGCCCCAGAGCCTCTTGAATGAAAGCGAGCCAGGTTCCCTTAAGGAAGGGCCCTGCTACAGGACCGAAATCAAAGAAGCACTGGAAGGATGCAAAAGAACCAAGAAAAGGGGCTACCTAGGGGCACAGGGGCTGGGGTAGGGTGGGGTTAGTGCTTCTAAGAGTGGTTTTAAAAAATGCTGAGTTCTGCCTTCTTGGGAAGGGTGGGTATATTTTTATACACATTGTTTGGTCCCTGGGATCCCTTTGGGACCATGGGACTCTGGTAAATTATATTAACTTTCCCCATCCTTGATCAGCACCAGCTCAGGATATAGGGGAATGAGGGTGATGGGGGAGAGACTTCTGAAAGTGTTATCTTTTAAATAACCTTTTGGCTTTCGAACCATGTAAATTCATCACCTTTTTACAACATTAATTCATTTAAACATTTTGTAGGAGGGTCAACACCGTGGCTGTGAGCCCGTGGCTTTGGGGAGTTACTGACAGGGCTGCTGTGTACAGTTGTGCACTGCTGAAGGGAATGTGAGTGCCTTTTTCCAACTGGCACAAAGGCACACGGTGGCTAGTGGAGGCTCCTTCTCTCCACCCATGCCCATTCTAACTGGGCCCTGATTCCTGGACCTGGGGCTGCCCAGGGTGGGGGGCTGGCTGCAGCAGCGGGCTCTGTGGCTTCTTGCAGACGCACCAGACGATCGTGGTGCAGCTGCTACAGTCCACCACACGGCTCCTCGAGTGTCCGTGGCTACAGCAGCAGCACAAGGGCTCTGTGGAGGCCTGCATCCGGACCCTCGCCATGGTGGGTGAGTGTGCTGGGGTGCTGGCCAGCTCCGACCCACTCCTCCCCTCCGCTCGTCACGGGATGCCTGCCCTCCTAACAAACACTTTATCCCTAAGCTCGCCCATCTCCTGCTCCCAGGTGGCTCTCAGTAAGTCCTTCTTGGTGTCTGCCTGGCATCCTGGCAACTGAGAGAAGCTGTTTTCTCCTCTGGGTCCGTTCCCCAGAGAAGGATGCTGGCTGACTCTCCAGCTGCAAACTCTAGCTAGAGCTTGCAGATGGGCTCAGGCAGGAGGGAGGCCTGTGGGTTGCTAGGGACAGTTGGGGGAGAGGAGAGGGCAGGTGACAGAGGAAGGGGAAGTCAGGGTAGAGCAGGGGGGAATCAAAGAGGCAGAAACTCTCCTTTTACCCAACAAGGGGCAGAAGGCCTCTCAGTCCCCCAAGCATAGGCCAGGGTGGGGGTCTCTGTCCCCAGACCCTCAGTCTAGTTCACTTTTTCTCCTGGTGTGGCAGCCCTAAGCCTGGCCTCTGGCTGGTCGAACTGCCCCTGCACCAGTCCTCCAGCACCCCCTCCCTTCCCACCCAGCCAAGGGCCGGGCCATCTCGCTGCCCATGGACCTGGATGCCCACATCAGCTCGATGCTCAGCAGTGGAGCCAGCTGTGCAGCTGCCATCCAGCGGAACACCTCCAGCTACAAAGCAACCACGAGGGCCTTCCCCCGCATCACCCCCACCGCCAACCAGTGGGACTATAAGAACATCATCGAGAAGCTGCAGGTGGGTGTGGGGCTGCCTGGCATCTGCCATGGGAGCTGCTTGGTTGACTCAGCAGCCCCCCGACTTTGGAGGGGCAGGGTTCTCGGGGGAGTGTTTCTTCCTGTCTTGCCCACATTTCCAGGAAGGAGCTGGCTGGCTTCTCCCCACTCGGGCTGCTAAGGGCTGGCCCTGCAGCAGGGGATCAGTGAGTCTCATTCCAGAGGAAGCCTGGAGAACCCAGGGGCCTGCTAGAGGGTTGGAGCTCATGAGGAGCTCGGGACCACCCCTCACTCCTGCAGCACCCTCCTTTCTGTGCAGCACATTTCTGTGTGCTCTCATTGGCCTGTAGAGAGGTGTGGTGGGTTATTTTCCCCATGCGGCAGGAGACTGAGGCTCAGAGAGGGTAAGGGGTTTGCCCAGGGTCACACAGAGCTGGGAGAGAAGCCAGGCCTTGTGGCTCCCAGCCAGGGCTCTGGGCAGACAGACATCACGCTGTGTTCAGGGTGTCTCTGTGGTTGTGGGCCCCTCAGACAGAGGCAGGGTAATCTGTGGGGCTGTTTGGTGTTTGGGTCAGGGGAATGGCAGTCACACCCAGGTCATCTCTTGGGCCTGGCAATGACCCTGCCCTGCCCACCCCAGGACATCATCACAGCCCTGGAGGAGCGGCTGAAGCCCCTGGTACAGGCTGAGCTGTCCGTGCTGGTGGACGTCCTGCACTGGCCTGAGCTGCTCTTCCTGGAGGGCAGTGAGGCCTACCAACGCTGCGAGAGTGGGGGTTTCCTGTCCAAGTGAGCGAGACGTGGGGGCGTGGGGGCAGCAGGCCGGAGGCAGGGAAGGGCCTGGTTGGGACTAGACAGGCTCACAGGGTCAGAGGGCCTGGGGTGTTCCTGCCTGGGATGGGGCTGGGAAGTGGCGGGAGGGAGGCAGCGTGGGGCTGCCCTGAGCCACCTCCTCGGCCCGCCCAGGCTGATCCAGCACACCAAGGACCTGATGCAGTCAGAGGAGAAGCTGTGCATCAAGGTGCTGCGGACCCTGCAGCAGATGCTGCTCAAGAAGACCAAGTACGGGGACCGGGTGAGTGCCCTGGTGGTGCAAGTGCTGCATGGGCCAGTCAGGAGTGCCCAGGGTCTCAGGGTCAAGCCAGTGGTCAATGGTGTGCTGTACCCACAATGGGGCCTCACTCCTGTCCTCCCCCAGGGCAACCAGCTGCGCAAGATGCTGCTGCAAAACTACCTCCAGAACCGGAAGTCCAGCTCGCGGGGGGACCTTCCCGACCCCATGGGCACTGGTCAGTATCGCCTTCCCCTGCCCTCAAGCCCTCCCTTCCACTTTCCTGTCCCACCATCTCTCCCTCAGCTGAGTCCCCCCTCCAGGCCTGGACCAAGACTGGTCAGCAATTGCGGCCACCCAGTGCCGGCTGGACAAGGAGGGAGCCACCAAGCTGGTATGTGACCTCATCACCAGCACCAAGAACGAGAAGATCTTCCAGGAGAGCATCGGCCTGGCCATCCGCCTGCTGGATGGCGGCAACACGGAGATCCAGGTGTGGGGGGCCTGGGGCCTGAACATGCCCTCCTTTGCCTCCCTCCCTTTTTGGAGGAAATGCGCCTTGATTTAGGCACTGAAGGCTGAGGAGGGTGTGAAAGAGGAGGGGAGGAGGCCTGAGCAGAGGCTGAGAGGTGAGAAGGGTGGGCACGAGGGGGCAGGATGGTGAGGAGATGGGCTCAGGCCCAGCTGGGACAGTGGGGTGTGTGGGGGTGGGGAAGGGACCACGTCACGCAGGAACAGATACGGGGCATGGAGCTGCCATGGGTGGCCATGGGTGCTAGCCACCAGCACCCAGGCCTGCAGCCAGGCTCCAGCAGCGTGGCATGACTGCCACAGTCATGGGCAGTCATGGGCAGGAGCAGGGCCCAGTGCTGAGGCTGCTCCCTGGCCACTGTCCACCTGCAGAAATCCTTCCACAACCTCATGATGAGTGACAAGAAGTCAGAGCGCTTCTTCAAGGTGCTGCACGACCGCATGAAGCGGGCCCAGCAGGAGACCAAGTCCACGGTGGCGGTCAACATGAATGACCTGGGCGGCCAGCCGCATGAGGACCGCGAGCCAGCCGACCCCACCACCAAAGGTCAGGGGTCTGGGGCAGGGGCACGGCGTGATGGGTTTCCCAGGGTAAGATGTGCAGGGCGGGGCCCCGGGAGTGGGCTGCTCCAGCCTCACCAGGTCTCGCCTACAGGCCGCGTGGCCTCCTTCTCCATGCCGGCTTCCTCATCCCGCTACTGGCTGGGCCCCAGCCTGCGCCGGGGGCACGAGGTGAGCGAGCGTGTGCAGAGCAATGAGATGGGCATGGCCGTGCTCATCATGCAGCCCATCCTGCGCTTTCTGCAGCTGCTGTGCGAGAACCACAACCGGGACCTGCAGGTGAGTGCCTTGCCACACACCTGCCCCTTTCCCCGCCGGCCAGCCGCCATGCAGACCATGTACTGTGGCTGGTGTCCCTCTGTGGCATGTATGCCCTGGCCTGAGCACCGCTGCTTTGTGGCTGGTGGTTCCCCCACCCCTGCAGCTCCCCAGGGCAGCCTCCCCCTCCGTGCTGTAGCCATGTGGTGCCCAACCCTTCTGTGTCCCGCAGAACTTCCTGCGCTGTCAGAATAACAAAACCAACTACAACTTGGTGTGCGAGACGCTGCAGTTCCTGGACATCATGTGCGGCAGCACCACGGGCGGCCTGGGGCTGCTGGGGCTCTACATCAATGAGGACAATGTGGGCCTCGTCATCCAGACCTTGGAGACCCTCACTGAGTACTGCCAGGGCCCCTGCCATGAGAACCAGGTGAGCTGTCCTGGTCACTCGAGCGGTGGCCAGGGTGGCAGTGTGGACATGCGGGTGGATGGAGCCGGCTGGGGCAGGGAGAGGTCTCTGGTGCTGCCACAATTCTGAGAGAGCCTGGGCCCCGTGTCCCCCACTGCCTCCTGCCAGACCTGCATCGTGACACACGAGTCCAACGGCATAGACATCATCACCGCACTGATCCTCAATGACATCAGCCCGCTGTGCAAGTACCGCATGGATCTGGTGCTGCAACTCAAGGTGGGGCCCGGTGGCAGGCGTGGGAGTGTGCGGGTGTGCATGTGACGTGCATGCACGTATGTGTGACTTGTGTGCCGAGTGTGCAGATTGGTGTGTGTGTGTGTGTGGTAGCACTGTGTGTGATGGGGTATCTAGATGCACGTGTGTGGTGATGTGTGCAGGCTGTGTGTGTGTAATATGCGCATGTTTATGTGCATGAGTGCACGTGTGAGCAGGCACGCTGGAACATACACTCACTCTGGATGCCGGTATCTGAGGACTTGCTGTGTGTGTGTTTGCTGTCTAGGTGGCTGTTTGCCACAGCTGGGGTGAAGGCAAGCCTGTGGTAGGCTGGCTGTGCAGGATGCTTCTCAGCAGGCCTCAGTGAGGGAGGATGGAAAGGTCATGGTGCCTGACCTTTTTGGGGGTGGGAGAGGTTGTTACTGAGAGGAATGGGGGAGAAGTTGTTGGGGGCATGGTGGGGACCCTGAGACTGTGGCCTGCCTCCCTCCGACCCTCCACCCAGGACAATGCCTCCAAGCTGCTCCTGGCTCTGATGGAGAGCCGGCATGACAGTGAAAACGCTGAGCGCATCCTCATCAGCCTGCGGCCCCAGGAGCTGGTGAGGCTGGGCAGTCGGGAGGGTGGAACCAGGTGGAGTGTGTTGGGATGGGGATGAGGGCCCGGCTGGCCCTACTGCCCCAGGAAGAGAGCACTGGAACAGGCCCTGCCCCTCCAGGTGGACGTCATCAAGAAGGCCTACCTGCAGGAGGAAGAGCGTGAGAATTCGGAGGTGAGCCCACGTGAAGTGGGCCACAACATCTACATCCTGGCGCTGCAGGTACCGTGGCCCCCTGGGTGCCTGATGGCCATGCTCCCCCCAGCCACCATCTCCTGCCATGCCCCCCACCACTGCCATCACCCCCCATTGCCATCATCTCCACCAGCTGCCATGGCCCCCAGCCACCATGCCCTGGTGAGTGTGCTGCCTTCTCCCTCAGCTCTCTAGGCACAATAAACAGCTGCAGCACCTGCTGAAGCCCGTGAAGCGCATTCAAGAGGAGGAGGCCGAGGGTATCTCTTCCATGGTGGGTGCCTCCCCAGAGACTGGGGTGGGGGTGGGGCTTAGGCCTGGGGGCGGGGCCTGGAGCCTGGGGAGGAGCCGCGATCTGAGGGCGTGGCCTGGAACAGAGTGAGGACCTAGGATTTGAGCCTGGCTAGAATTTGGGAGTGGGGCCCAGGGGGCTGATCAGGACTGGCAGCCAGGGATGAAACCCAGACTGAGAAATGGAAGTGAGGCCCAGGTAGGTCTGGGGCAGGCCTGCAAGCTTCAAGCAGGAACTGGGCTGCACTTGGGCAGGACTAGGAGGGGGGCCGGCTGTCCTCTGAGATTCTCTGGTCATGGCTCTCCAGCTCCCCTCCCTTTGACACCAGATTCTCCAGGTTCGGTCCTAGCTGGGCTGGGCTTGGCCTGGTCTGGCTTAGCGGGGACACTCACCGAGGTATAGTTCAGAGCTGGGCCAAGGGCTGGGAGGGCAGGGGCTGAGTGACAGGCCTGGAAGTGGAGGCTGGGGCCTCAACTTCACACCCTCCCCACCTCCAGCTCAGCCTCAACAACAAGCAGCTGTCACAGATGCTCAAGTCCTCGGTGCCAGCACAGGAGGAGGAGGAAGACCCCCTGGCCTACTACGAGAACCACACGTCCCAGATCGAGGTGAGCCTGTGGGCGGCAGGGGCGGGCACATGGGTCTGGGCCGGGCCTGACCACGTGCGGTGTGTGCTCAGATTGTGCGGCAGGACCGCAGCATGGAGCAGATCGTGTTCCCAGTGCCTGGCATCTGCCAGTTCCTGACGGAAGAGACCAAGCACCGGCTCTTCACCACTACCGAGCAGGACGAGCAGGGCAGCAAAGTGAGCGACTTCTTCGACCAGTCCTCCTTTCTGCACAACGAGATGGAGTGGCAGCGCAAACTCCGCAGTGAGGACCTGTGGGCAGGAGGGCAGGGCGGTCTGGAGCTGCCCACTGACGCCCTGTCATAACAGCCTCCCTCGCCTGCCTGTTGGTACCCTGCTTCCATCCCCACCTCACCCCAAGGAAGGGCTCTTCCACGCGTGGTTTCCTCCTGAGTGGGTCCCGCATGCAGCCGGGGACGCTCACCGGGGCCCTCCAGCAGCTCTCCACTGCCCTCCTCCCCAGGCATGCCGCTGATCTACTGGTTCTCCCGCCGCATGACCCTGTGGGGCAGCATCTCCTTCAACCTGGCTGTGTTTATCAACATCATCATTGCCTTCTTCTACCCTTATGTGGAGGGTGCATCCACAGGTGAGGACACAGGGCTGGCCGGCAGATTCCCCGGGCCCCGCCAAGCCTCCTCTCTGGGTTGGGGCAGAGCCTTGGGTCCAGCTAACCTCAGAGGGGACCAGATGCACAGTGTGCAGAAGCACCCCCTGCACCATCCTGTGGGATCTCACCCCATCATGGAGAGACACGGGTGTGGTCCAAGGGGATGGTCAGGGTCTTTGACCTCATGGGAGATGGCACATGCATGCACATGTACATGCAGAGATGTGTCAGCCAGAAACCAGACTTGGTAGCCGCAGCCTGACAGGGCCTCCCGCTTAGGCCTGAGAGGCAGGTGTAAGAGAGGAGGCTAAAAGCAGGCACCAGAGCTTAACTTTTCGGCACCTGTTGGACCTGCGCTGGGGCCGTGGTGGGCTTGAGGGAGCCCTGCTCACCCTGTCCCTGGCCCCCAGGCGTGCTGGATTCCCCTCTCATCTCACTGCTGTTCTGGATCCTCATCTGCTTCTCCATTGCTGCCCTGTTCACCAAGAGCTACAGCATCCGCCCCCTCATCGTGGCACTCATCCTGCGCTCCATCTACTATCTGGGCATCGGGCCCACGCTCAACATTCTGGGTGCTCTCAACGTGAGTGCCAGAGGGAGCCCCCATTCCCAGACCAGCCCATGCTCACTGTGCATTCAGACTGCAAGCTGGTCTGCTGCCTCCAGGAGCCACTCCTCTGCCCCATCCCCTCCTCTCTGTTGGGCTCCCAAGTTGCTTATAGACCAATGGCAGGGACTGTTCTGTGCCTTTTCCCTCTCCCTCAACACCTGGGGGCAGCTGGCACTCAGAGACAGAAATTCAAGAGTCCTTTTGGAGCAACAGGGTCAGGGTGGCCATGCACAGTGCTGGCTGTGCACTGCCCAGAGGCACTGCTAGGCAGCAGACATGAAGATTTGTGTATTATGACAGATCCTGACAGATGGAAATAAAATGCCTTGAGCAAGGAGTACCTTTCCTTGACAGACGCAGTCAGTGGTCTTCTCTGTCCCCATCCTCCTTTGTCTTCCTGGAATTGAGGACCCAAGGGGCTGCTTCTGTATTCTGAGTCCCAGGAGCCCAGATGCATTTCTGGAAGCAATTTCATGAATGCCGTGCCTCCCAGGCTCTGAGATGGGCATTGTGGGGCACGTGGGCAGACTTAGAGTGGGTGGTAGGGCCTTGACCCTTAACCTCGTGCCCTGTACTCGCCCCCAGCTGACCAACAAGATCGTGTTTGTGGTGAGCTTCGTGGGCAACCGTGGCACCTTCATCCGGGGCTATAAGGCCATGGTCATGGACGTGGAATTCCTCTACCACGTGGGCTACATCCTGACTAGTGTCCTGGGCCTCTTTGCTCACGAGCTGTTCTATAGCATCCTGGTAAGGCCTGCTGGGTGGGCTGGGGCTGGAGGGGGGCATGGGGTGGTTGGGGCTTCCCATGAACTGCTGGCAGTTCTCCGGCGCCAGTTTCTCTGTCCAGTCCTTTTGCTGCTCGGCTGGGAGCAGTGGAATTCCAGAGTCTTCCTCTGTCCTACCCAAGCCTGGCCCTGAAGGCCCTGATGGCCACTCCTGGTGGCTATCTGACCCCTCTCTCCTGTACAGTGGTGGTTTAAGCCTGGACTCTGAGGCTGGACCAGGGCTTTGCATCTCAGCTGCACTATCACTAGCTGTGTAACTGGGAAACTGGGCAAGTTTCCTCACCTGTGAAATGGGGTTAACAGCAGCCCCTGCCTTCTAGAATAATTGCAAGCATAAGACGAACGAATGCGTGAAGCGCACTCAGGCTGTTGCCTGGCACGCAAGTGCACTGTCAGGGCCGGCTGGTCTTCAGCCACAGGTTTCACCCCTCGTGCCTTCCGCTGGCCCACTCCCTTTCTAGAATTCCATGTTCCTCGGGAAGCTCCCCTGACAGGCCCACCCAGCTTGGTTACTCCCAACTAAGCAGACCTCCCTGGAGGAGCCTTGGGAAACTGTCCGGAGCCCAGGCAGCCTTCGGGGTACCAATGGCATCTCCAGCAAGACTGGCCAGCTCAGCCCCTGAATGCACCATTCCTGTCTCATCCCCATGCTGCAGCTCTTTGACCTCATCTACCGCGAGGAGACGCTGTTCAACGTCATCAAAAGCGTGACCCGCAATGGCCGCTCCATCCTGCTGACAGCCCTGCTGGCCCTCATCCTGGTCTACCTCTTCTCTATTGTCGGCTTCCTCTTCCTCAAGGATGACTTCATCCTCGAGGTCGACCGGCTGCCCAACAACCACTCCAGAGGTCTTGGAGGCTTCCCTCCTGGGCAGGTTGTGGGGAATGAGGTTGGGTCTCACCGGTGCCTGGCCTCAGGACCATGACCTGCAGCCCTTACCCCACCAGGCCCCCGTCTTTCTCCTCTTGGCTTCTGGGGAAGTCTAGCTCACACCAGTCTGTCTCACTCTTTCCTGGAACACACTGAGCGGGAAGGAGTCTTGGGTCTCTGGCCCCTAAGGAGCCCCTTGCTTGAAAGCTGGAGCCTCTTGCAGGCACTGTCATTCATGTTAAACCCAGTAGTTGCAGAAGCTGCCCATGTGCCAGGCCTAGGGGTACAGAGACCCCTCCCAGCCCTTAGTGTGCAACCCAGTGGGGGCAGAGGCATGAAGACCCTTCACTGTGGCCAGACAGTGCAGGGCTGGCAGCATCAGGGAAGGTTTCCTGGAGAATGTGACGCTGGGGCCAGAGCCAGGGGGTGGTAATGCCAGGCACTGGACCTCCTGGTGACCTCCTCCATGCCCCTTGCAGCCAGCCCCTTGGGGATGCCACATGGAGCTGCTGCATTTGTGGGCACTTGCAGCGAGGACAAGATGGACTGTGTCTCGGGGGTCTCGGTGCCCGAGGTCCTGGAAGGTGAGGGCAGTGTGTCTGCAGAGGTCTGGGTGGGGTAGAGGGAGCAGGCAGCTCAGGTTTCAGCACACCCTGCTTGCAGAGGACGGGGAGCTGGACAGCACAGAGCGGGCCTGTGACACTCTGCTGATGTGCATCGTTACCGTCATGAACCATGGGCTACGCAACGGTGGTGGCGTGGGCGACATTCTCCGCAAGCCCTCGAAAGACGTGAGCATTCCTGCCCACTCCCAAACCCATGGGGCCCAAGCCACTGTCCAGATCAGCAACTGTGGAGAGTCCTGTCTTTGGCCTCACATCAGATATTCAGGGTTGAACTCTCCCTCCCCCAAGTTTGCATCCTTTTTTTCCTGCTTTCCATACCTGGCCAATTCCATAACGTTACTGCTTAGCTGCCCCTCACCCTCCTATTCCATAAGGAAAGACCTTGGCAACCAAACTTTGCCCCAGGGCTAGGGACGGCGACCCCCGGCTTCTGTAGCCCACAGCAGGCAGGCAGAAGGCAGAGCTGAGTCAGCTTCATCAGGAGGCCTCATGATTTGGCTTGGGCAGCCACGTTCCAGAACATCAGTCCTTCCCGTTGCTTGAGAGTGAGAAGCTGCCTCCCTGGCCAGAAAGGGTTTCTAGAATGTGTGAGGCCAGGCGTCGTGAGTGTGGGACAGAGGTATTCAGAGCTGGCTCTTTCCCTAACCAAAGTTCGGGGCAGAGACACGCCTAGACTCATAGCCCTGCCTCCCTGCACTAGACTCCTGTAAGAGTTTACCCCGGTGTGTCCTGAGTCCACACTTTCCTAACCCAAACTTGGGGCTTCTGCTTGCAATTCTTACTCTGTGGAGCCAGGTTGGGTCCACTCTCCCATCGGCATGGCCCACGAGCCAGAGGCCCTCATTTCCTTCTGCTGGGGTCTGGATCCACAATATCACAGCCCTGGCCCTCACCTGAGTCCCGTGCCTGGGTGAATGCGGGGACCACCTGGCCCAGCCTCCCTGCCTTGCCTCCGCAGGAGTCTCTGTTCCCAGCCCGAGTGGTCTATGACCTCCTGTTCTTCTTCATCGTCATTATCATCGTGCTGAACCTCATCTTTGGGGTAATCATTGACACCTTCGCTGACCTGCGCAGTGAGAAGCAGAAGAAGGAGGAGATTCTCAAGACGACATGCTTCATCTGTGGTGAGGGTTGCTTCCCGCTCTGCAGAGGCTGCAGTGGGGCTGGGACATCATCTGACGCCAGTGGCAGTGGAGGTTTAGCCCTTCCTGCCCTGGGGAACCCTGCCCTGGGGCCAATGATTCCATGCATTTGCTCATCCCAGAACTTGGGAGAACATGACCCTGCTGAACTTGGAGTCACAGAAGGGAGTGAGACAGGGCCATCCCTGTAAACCCTTGGGGTTTCTTGGGGAGGACACGAGCCCAGTTAGTGTCTGGAGCTTCTGGTCTCAGTCCAGTGCTTTTTCCCCACCCCTGAAATGAAGTGCTAGTCCCCTCATACAGGTGACACCTGCCTGAGCCTGAGGAGGCTTGAAGAAGAACAAGCCACCTCGGGCTCAGGCGGGCGTCACCTGTATGACCTGTAGGACCTCGCTCATCCAGCCATTCCTGCTTCCCCCGAGTTCGGGGAATTCTGCTGTTTACTCCTAGAGTCCTTGGTTGCCGCTGCGGGAGGGCTGCAGCTGCGGCGGGCAGGATCTCCACCGCTAAGTGGCTGCTGCTTTAAATAGCAGTGACCCAAATAGCCCAGAGCGAGCTGTCAGAAGCGCTCATTCCGAGAACAAATGCTTCCACTCCCCGGAAGCCGGGTCCCCTCCAGCAGGTGGCCCGCAGTGGCTCTTGAAGGCTGATGGTTTCATTCCCGCCCTCTGCACCCTCAGGTCTGGAGAGGGACAAGTTTGATAACAAGACGGTGTCATTTGAGGAACACATCAAGCTGGAGCACAACATGTGGAACTACCTGTACTTCATCGTGCTGGTCCGTGTGAAGAACAAGACGGACTACACAGGCCCCGAGAGCTACGTGGCCCAGATGATCAAGGTGCAAGCAGGGGCTGCGGGGCCTGTGGGCCCAAACCAGCCATTCTAGAGTCAGCATCACTGTGCACCACAGGCCTTGGGATTCAGCTTCTGAGAGCCCTGGGCTCTGGAGAGGAGTGGCCACATCTGTGCGCCTGCCCTGGGAGGCCAGGGGGAGGGGCTCGGACAGCTGCAGACACTTGTGGAAAGGTCAGCAGGGCGAGGAGGAGCAGCTGGAAGCAGCTCTGGGCTGCACGGGAGCCCTGCCAGCTGCCGGCTGCTGTGGAGGGGCCTCCTCGCACCTCTGGGTGTCAGGAAAAATCCCACAGCAAACCCATCAGCCCTGAAGAATGCGCGTGGTGTCCCTGGGCCGGTGGTGCAGTGACGCTGAGGAGGGGTGGGGTAGGGGAGACCCTGCCTGTGGCCAGTATCTGTGGGTCACCCTCAGGGAGTGTTTTCTAGCTCGGTGAGAAGGCAGGCTGCCTCCTAAAGTCTGGATTAGATGGTCCTGGGCTGAAAGGGAGCCTGGAAAAACTTTATCACTTAAATCAAATGTCATCTGCCCAATTTCTATAATAATGAAGGGAATGAAGGCAGTGAATCATAAAGGAGGAATTCTATGTTGTCTGTCTGTATTTCGAGCCGATCTTTGTGTACAGATTTATTTGCTGGTGTAAGAATTCACAGCTTACAAGGAAGCTTGAGAATTGCTTGGTGCCCCCTCCCTCCCCACTCCTCTGTCCTGGGAAACGTGGCTTTGCCTCCCAGACATGTGTCAGATGCCAGCCCTCCTCAGTGGAGCCTCCCGATCCCTCAATTTGCCATCTGTCTGACTCGCATCTTCCTGGGGCGTGGGGGGTGCTTTTCAGGCAGGCGGGCGGGCGGGAGGAAGGAAGGAGATTCAGGGTCTGTCTGGGTGCAGAGGCCTTCCTCCACCTCTCATGGAATGTTATGAGAGTAAACAGATGGTGCTGATACCAGCGAAGGACTCAAACTCAGCTGCTGACGCTGCCTAACAGAAGTCAGCATGTCTTGGTGGCAGAGGGTTGACTGCCAGCTCACTCTGGTCCCAGGGAGGACCAGGTCAATTCAGATTTTCCCATGACACATCCCTGACAAGTAATTTTGTCAAGGGTGTGGTAGAAGCCTCCCCCCACATTACTGTTTTTCTAAATGAGGCCTATCTAGGCCAGGCACATGCCTGCTCACCCCACTGGTGATGTTTTTCAGAACAAGAACCTGGACTGGTTCCCCCGGATGCGGGCCATGTCCCTTGTGAGCAATGAGGGTGAAGGGGAGCAGAATGAGATTCGGATTCTTCAGGACAAGCTCAACTCCACCATGAAGCTGGTGTCCCACCTCACTGCCCAGCTCAACGAGCTCAAGGAGCAGGTGTGCACCCGCCCCATCCCGGGCCCATCCTGGGCTCTATCCCTGGGCAGCCCCTGCCTGCCTCCATCGTTCCCGCCCCACCCTCTCCCCACAGGCCTCTGGCCCTAGGCCTGGATGAGAAGGAAGGTTCCAAACCCACTCTCCCCTCCAGGCAAATCAGAGTGGGGTTGACAACCCCTGCCTTGGGCCCCTAAAGACAAGGCCAGGTGGAAACTTAGTACAGGGTAGTGGGGCCTTCTGTCTCTCATCCCCCTCCTCTTGCAGCTGCCAGGCAGGGCCTCTGAGGGGATCCCTGTCACTGGAGATGCGGAGTTTAAGGCCTTCTTGCCCACATGTCCTCCTCTGCATCTGGCAGTGCCTGCATGAAGATGAGGCAGCATGAGATGTGTTAGTGGGGTGGTTTCCCAGCTGCATCAAATCCGGAGTTTGTGACACGCTAATTGAGAACAAGGGTTTGGTGCTGACACTGACATCCTCGAAGCACCCCGAGGGGCCCTGGCCCACCGCCAGTGCTGAATAGCAGCTGGGCCCATGGGGGAAGACAGGCGCCAAGTCCTTCCATAGCACCGACGGAGAGAAGGTGCCAGGTGGCCTGACCGGGCCTGTTGGATCTGCTTAACCCTAGATGACGGAGCAGCGGAAACGCAGGCAACGCCTAGGCTTTGTGGATGTCCAGAACTGCATGAGCCGCTGAGGAGAGCTGCTGGAGGCCCCAACAGGGGATGCTCATCACTGGGGACTGCCACTGGGAAGTACTACCCCTCCCTTGGGCAGAGTGGCCCAGCCAGCCTCTGCTTCCACTCTGCCAGACACCCCGACACCAACCCAGGCTTTGACCAGTGTGGAGGGGGAGCCTCAGGGCTGACAGTCCTGCCTAGAGCCCTTAAAAAAGACTTGAAAGTTCACTGGGACTCAGTTTACCTTAGTGCCTTAGCAGAAGATAAATCCTAGAGACCTTTGTCCCTTAAAGCAATCACTGACAACTCTTTGTAGTCCTCCTTGTGGGTGGTTAAGAGTGGGGTCACCTCTTTATCTCCAAGCACTACATTTTGGCTGCTGCCTACCTCTGGGGGAGGTGGCAGTAATACTGTTACTAGTAATTTTAGGGCTTTGTTATTTAACTTATTCCAAGGGTGCTGTGCTCAGCCCTGCCCATGGCTGTACAGCTCCCTCTGTGCCTCAGATCTGCTGTAGACAGTGCAGACCTCACTGTTGTGGCTGGCCTGGCTCCAGGTGGTCTGATGACTCAGTGATGGACAGCCTTGCTCCCGGGACCTGCCTCTTCCCAGGCTTCCTGGGGAAGAGCTGTGCACCCAGGCAACAAGGGCTGGGCTTCGTTTGCGCAGCTGTTTCATGACCGCTTGTTTTTCTCCTTTTGGTGTAATGTTTTACAAATCCTTTGGCCTAAGAACTAGTATGTTAATTGCCTTAAATAAATTAACAGAAATTGAGTGAAAAAGGGCCGTGTTTCCTGTACTCCTCCAGGGGCTGTGGGGATTAAAGGGCACACTGGCAGAAGACAGGAACAAGGGCCTCTCCCTGCTGGCCTGGCCTCTCCTCAGGCTCTCAGGAGACGCACTGAGTGACATCCTCAGGGGTCCTGGGCAGAACTGTATTTTGGCATAACTGGTGTCTACTGCAGTCCTGGTCGATTTTATTTTATGCATTTCAGAATATCCTGAGTCTAGATACAGACGAGATTAAGAACCCACTTCCACTTTGTACCCACCAGGGGCGCTGTGGGCCCCAGGCCTGTCCCTCTCCTAGCATGGTTCCTGACAGATGCTCAAGTAGGAAAGTGAATGTGTCTATCAGTAAGAGCCAAGGTTCCATGGAATAATAAGGTGACCCTGTGTGCGTCCCCAGACAGCAGGGCCTTTGACTTGTGGTCACCTGCAGAACCTGCCCACACTGCTGAAGCCAACTGCAGCTAAGGCCCCGCCTGGCCAAAGCCTGTCTATAGCTCCCCCGTCCCTTAGGCCAACTGGGCAATGTGGGTTTTTGCAAGGTCAGGGACAGGCCTGAGGTCTGTCCTTCTCTCAGTCCGTCGGGATGATGGCCAAGCAGGCTTTTTGCCTCTCTCAGCCTCACACTTCCCTGCTGCTGTTTGCGACAGGATGCCCTTTTCGGTATTTACTGCTATTTCTGGCTCCCTCCCAGGAACTCCTACAACAAAAGGGAGCCTGAGAATCTTGCCAGGAGACGCCAGACCCCTGCTGGAGGGTGGGGCTCCTGTGGCCGTGCAGGAAGCACCTTGTGCTGAGGCCCCACTACCCTCCCCTGTCAGGCTCAGAGGGAAACCTGCGTTTCCTCTCCCCAGGAGATTTCCCAACCTTGCCAGCAGTCACAGCAGACAGCTCAATCAGCATCCCTTCTCAGGCTGAAACTTTCTTTAGAGCAGCAAGGGCTTCCTTTTTGGGAAGGCTAGAGGAGATTCCCAAAGCGGAAGGTTAGGGGGAAATGGGCAGTTTTATTGATGATGGCAACGCACAAGACTCCACACCTAGGTATGAGGGCGAGAGAGCTCAGGCCTTAGGCTTCTCCTCAGGATCCTTAGAGGCAAACTTCTCCTGCAGTTTCTTCCACAAGCTTTTATCCATTTCTTTAAGCTCTTCCAAGGTGTCTGCGAGGGGGGAGGACAAAAAGAGAGAGGGACTGAAGTCTAAAACTTGATGACACAGGCTGGACCCCGGGGCTTTCCCGACACAAACATGCCTTAGTTTTCACACAGTGTTCCTGAAAAAAGGAAGTGCAGACGCAGCTTCTGAAGAGCAGATCAAACAGGGTAACAGAAGTGACCGCTCGCGGTGACTGAGCACTGTGTGCCAGGTCCTGTGCCCAGCATGCTCTCAGCGGTCTTTCCCCCTCCCCTCAACCTTGGCATCAAAGTGGGGTGTTCTGCTCGTTGCCCTGCTCCATATGAGGGCAAAGAAATGGCCCTGTGCTGTCCGCTGCGCAGCCCACAGGACCAGATGCTTCATCGCAAAATTTGGCCTGCTCCATGCAGCCCTTCTTGTCTCAATTCTTCAGGTGTGGAAACTGAGGCAGGGGGAGAGGTAATTTGCTGAGGTTGCCCCGCTGGGAAGTGGAGCAGGGATTTGAATCCTGGTGTGTGGGCCCAGCACATGTGGTGGAGTTGAGCAGGCACCAGGAGGCAGACGGACTGGGGCCCGAATCCCAGCCCATCACCTCCCACTCTGGGTCCCCTCAAGCAAATCATTTAACCCTCTTCGCCTCGAGTTCCTCATCTGTAAAATGAAAATAAAAACACATCTGCAGACAATTTGGGGACGGGTGAAAAAGAAAATAAAAAACCACAGGTACCCCCAAAGTTGTAAGCATTAAAGAAAATCATGGAAGTAACTTTCTTGGCACACAGTCTGCACTCTGTGAAAAGGCAGCCGTCTTCACCCCAATGCAGGCAGGAGGGGCTCTGGTTTAAGAAAGCAAACTTTCCTCCCCACAGCCAGAGCCAAAGCAGAGTTTCTCGGCCTTGGCACTACCAACACTTTGGGCCAGATGATATTTTTGTGGCTGGCCTGTGCATCACTGAGGGCTGTGTTGAAGCATCTTGGCCTCTACCCACTAACACCAGTAGCACTGCTGCCCCCAGCACCAGTTGTGACAACTAAAAATGTCTCCAGACATTGCCACGTCCCCTGAGGGCCAAAATCACCCCCAGTACGGAATCATTTGTCTCAAGTCTCTAGGGCTAATGTTCCATGAAATCTAATTTTATGTTTATGTTAAATTTTAGATATTCATATAATATTGTTTGGCTTTCCCACCCTGAATTTTCATGTTAACAAAACTACTGGAGAAAAAAAAGAGTATCTTTTCTGACCAAAAAAGGTAACAGAAAAAAGCCCGTGCTATCGGGCTCTTCCAGAAGTCTAGGTCACTGAGGGATCCTCATCCACCTCCAAGCCCCGAGGCCTCCCTTTAGCGCCTTCCATGACCTCAATCCCAGGGTGGACACACGCGTGACCCAGAACACAGCACCTTTCAGACTCGCCAGGCCCTCAAAGCCTCTCACTACAAGGTGCTGCAGGTCTTTTCTTGTCCTGGCAGAGGAGACATTTGGTAAGCTTACTCCATGCAATTTGCAACAAAAATATGAGGCTTGCTGTGAAAACAAATTCTCAGCAAATTTCCTGGAACTAAACTCACAGCCAGAACAAGCTGCAGCGCGGACCAGTGGCGGGGACGGGCCTTCATTGCTGCCAGCTACCTGCTTGCAGAGGCGGCCCTGGGGCGAACAGACAGAGGGCAGAGGCAGGGCCTCCGGAACTTACTTCCACCCTCACTTCAAGCTCAAACTTTGCTCAAACTCTCCAGGGCCCTTGCAATAATGAGCATCAATGCTGTTAATTACATGGACCCAGGGATACAGGAGTAAATTTACACATGAAAATAAACTGCCAATAAAGTGAGTCTGCCTGGCCAAAATATCTTTACCCCCATTTTCTGGCGAGTACTAGAATAAAAATAGGGTTAGAGTTGACACGTAACAGCAGGTCAGACCACCAGGTTTTAATCTCAGAAGAGTGTCTTCTAGAAGCCCATATCCTCAAAACTAAGTAGCTGAAGGCTGCCATTAGAAGAAGACACATTTCTAGAATACCAGCAGGAAATGTTTCAGGGCCATGCCCTCCCAGAAAGGGTTAGCCTATTTTTGCATATAATATACTTGGCAACAAAAATAGTAATTTTCCAGTACCTGCCGACTTCAGCCCTGGCTCTCCTGCCTCCCTCCTTGGGGACAATGGAGACAGGGAGGCAGGGAAAGGACGGGCTTGGCAGGGTGTTTCCTTTCTTGTTCATCACAGTCTTTCAATGACTCGAAAACATACCTAGTTAAACTCATCTAAGCCACAGACCACGTCCCCTGGGTCAGATAACTCTTCGGCGGATATCCCCAAACACATTTATTGAATGGCTTTTTGTTTTAATTAAAACTTTCATTGTTTATAAAGCCCTCTTAGGACCATAAAAATAAAATTATTTTCCTTCCATCTTGATTTCAACTACTTCCATTTGGCAAATATGTCGAAGTAGTCCCCTGTTCCCTGCTGCCCAGCCTTGAATTTAAAAGCACTAAAGATAGATTTCCTTTTTAAATAACGCCTTTGACCTTCTCCACAGTATATGGTCAAAATGCATGAGGCCTATAGCTTCAGAATTTCCTCTGGGCTGTTCTACAGGACTTTCCATCAAGCAAAGCTGTCTTCTTAGACAATTCCCCTTGGCCACTCAAACTCCGAGAATCATGTGCAAAGCAATGAGAAAACTGTGCTTTCATTACCTGTAGACAGGATCAGCTTGTACTCTTCCAACGACAGGCCACTGAAGCTGGTTTCTCTGGGGCGAGGGTACTGGTCACAGGGGTAGAGAGGAAGAGAAGGGAGGAGACAGATCAGCACACAAGCTCTGCTCTCTAACTGCGGTTCACTTGGGCCCTGGGCAACCAGAGGCCAGGAGGCCTAGCAAGAGGAGCAGCGCCACCTTGAGGTCAAGACTTGGCTTTGCAAGAGCCAGTACAGTCTCCAGGACGCAGCTCCAACTTCAACGTGCCCATGAGTCCTCTCTGGAAAACGCAGGTATGGGCAGGGCCCCCGATTCTGCATTTCTAACCAGCTCCCAGGTGATGCCCAAACTGCTGCTCATGGACCACATGTTAGTAGGGAGGATTTAGAAAAAATCCATTTTCCACATGGGCATATGGCCACATATATTTGTGGAGTTACAGAACATATTTTTTGAGTCTAGGAAAAACCACTCTAAATGGAATTTAACAGTAATCACGCTGGGGTCCAGCTCTGGAAAAGGAGGGCACATTCCCAATCATCCCATCTTTATCACCAGAGTGCAGGGAGGTGTCAGTTTCATCAGCGTGGATGGGAAAATAGGTATAAATCCAATGGCTGTCAGATACTCCCAGGAGCACGCACTGGCATATCAAATACATGACTTCTATTCATAATTGGTTTTGTTTTTTTTCCCTATTCCCTATATTCACAATTTTAAATAGCTTTTATTTAGGTGGCCTAAAAGCCTCTACCAGGCACCTCTGTTCGCTTGGTTGAAATTACTGGTTTCATTTGAAAACAGCAAACCCGATTCTTTACAAAACACATTACATAATCAAGATTTTCACTCATTCTTATTAGCTGTCCTGTCAGAAAGCTGGGGGTATGCAAGGTGACCCACTCACCTTGTGTTTGTAGTAGTTTGAATGGAGTCGCGCTAAGCTCTCGTACATCTGATCACAGGCCTCAGGCTCTGCAATCTGAAAAGCAAAGAATCCCCAAGGAGGTAAGCAAAGGAGTCCTGCCTCCCACAGTGTCTGTACCTTGAGGAAAGACCATACTTAATAAGGCATTCACATGAAGCAGGCCTGCAGCTAGCACTGGCTTCTCCACTCTGTGGGAAGCAAACCTGGACTACA